AATTGGTCTTCTCATCTTACAAAATAAAAAATCTTTTGGTTTCAAAAACAGTATTCCATCTCAACTCAAATCTTGCGTGGCTTATGAATTTTCATGTGCGGGATGTAATTCCCGTTATGTTGGTGAGACAACTCGCCATCTCTCCCCACGCATCAAAGAACACACACATTCCGACAAAAACTCACATATTTATAAACACCTTCACACTTCACCACATTGCAAATCAAAATACAACCATTCATGTTTTCGCATCTTAGACACCGCCAACTCTCTTTTTTCTCTTAAACTGAAAGAAGCGCTATACATTCAAAAACTCAAACCAGACCTCAACAAACAAATATACCACATTAATACAATATTTAACCTGTAATATAATATCTAACACTAATTCTGTAATTTAATACACTTAACGATAGTCACATACACATATATATATATATATCATGTAAATAGCATAATTACTTTCATTCTATGTACTGAAGATGGTATAAGCATGCCGAAACATGTTTACGATAAAAAAACTAGTCGTTCATTTAAAATGTCTGATATCAATCGTGCTTTTAAGAAATTATGTTTTCAAGATATTATATCATCTTTGTATGAACAGAAGCTTCTCCCTTCCCAATTATGGAAGCTGCTACGTCAAATGATTTTTTTTTCATTGCAAGTTTAATTGCTAAAATTCTTTTATCAGGGGATAAAGTGATAGTTGAAGACAAATATAAAGAATAGCTATATTATACCTATTGATGCTAAAGTTTCAGCTTTATCTGCTGCACTGCAGCAGTTGTGTTATCTGTCAGTATGCCATCATTAAATGGGTGTAGCTCTTATTCTTTTTTTAAAGCACACTTTAAGGGGCTGATTCCAGGAGCCCGGGTACCTGGAATTCAGCCAAGCGTTAAATGATTTAGGCGAACGGAAACGATTCAATAATTATCATAAGATAAGTCTTCTCGAGCAATGTCACATTTTCTGACTTATTTATAAACGCAAAATATTTATAATTAAAACAAGCAATTTGGCCTAATTTGAAAATTACAACAGGAATGACTAGTGGCGCTTAACAAGCAGTTGTAATTTTTAAGCTTGAAGTTTTGGCTCTTTTCCATTTCTCGAAATCATTTCACGCCTCACTGAATCCCGGCAAGCCGGAATCATGTAAACAACCCACTTAAAGACATTAGGCTATTTTTTGTTTACGGGCCATTTTGGGATTTTCAGTTAATCCATAAGAAATAATATCATGTGCTTTACTCTTTCACCAAAATGGAATAATAGTCACAGTGTTCTTTCGCCGTGTATATTTTGCTGCTTATTGTTTGTATTGCGTATTTAGATCTTATTGATTTATAAAAAAAACACAAGGATGTTAAAAAGATTCATTCAGCATCTCTTAATCATATGCATAAGCAACAAGAAACACGAGACAATATTTATAGAGTAGAAAATAGAGGATGTCATTTAAAAATAATTTATACATTAAAAAATACAATCGTAACAACTTAAGTATGAAAAGAAAAAAGGCCATGTTTTCAGAAAGAATTCATTGCAAAATGTTCATTTTAATTTTAAATTAAACTCGCCCAAACACATTCAGCTGAAACGAACGTCGACATATTGCTAATATTTAATAAATCAATCCTGCTTTTAAGAAATGGGAGAGAGGTTTATATAATATTTATTACATAGCATAAGCATTTGAGTGAAGCAAGACACGAATTTGATTAAGCTCGTTTTCTATATAATTGTCAAAATTTAGTTGATAAGTATACCATAAGTCGGCCCATTTGTTAGTCGTACAGATGCAAGTCTGTTCAGCTTGCTTTGGCGAGATATATCAATTACCCCCAGTCACAGTGTACGTATTTTATATTACTCGCTGAATTTGCCCTTATATTGAATAATTATTAATTGGTATTTACCGGTTCTAAAAGTTTCAATTGCTCAACCTCTGTGTTTTTTGATTCTGTCATGTCGTCTACGCACTTGGTCACAAACTTGGACAGGATGTCAGTATGCCATCATTAAATGGGTGTAGTTTCTTTTTTTAAAGCACACTTTAAGGGGCTGATTCCATGAGCCCCTTAAATGTGCCCCTTTAAATGCGTTTTTGTACCAACTTGTCACAAACTTTGTCACAAACTTGTATTCCTACAATCGGCGACGATAGCTAGCGGGAAGTATAACATGAAGGTTAAATACTTGGAAATGCAATACGACCTTGGGTAGGAGACAAGCAGAACCAGTTCTTAACTCGATAGTGTTTATTTTTCTTTAACACAATTTTGAGAAACGTTTGCTCATTTAAAAGGCTAATCACTTGAATTTTTAACTGACCACAGTCCATTGTCATTAATGTCTGGAAGACTTGAACTCGTCTTTGTTCAACACCTTAAGACCGTTATTATTTTTGGCGTTGGTTCTGTACAGTCGTCGTTTGTATTATTAGGTAAAAAAGTTGACTGATCTGCTGGGTTAACATTTATAGCAAGTTTTAATGGGTGGTCTGTTTCTCTGCCCTTGCCTCCACCATCAAACCCCCACACGCAAAAAGTACAAAAATATGAAATAATGGACTTTGCTATTGGCTCACATGATAGGACTAAGTAAGTCACATGACTCATGTACAAGGGAAACAATTAGATATGGAAGAAGATTGGATCGACTTCTTAACTGACAACAAAATTTAGAACATTTTATTTTTGCATATTCTCATGGGTGAACATTGACTTCAATAAAATACCATTGTAAGATCGAGTTCAGCATAAGGTTGTTTAAGTTTAGCTATTCATTTAGTTGTTTTTTACTAAATATAGAAAATGCGTATAAGGTACATTATTATAGGCGTAGTAATTAATTACATATAGAAAAACTGTACAAAATATGTTCAATTGTATAAATTTTATGCATTTGAGAGATTTTAGTGAAAACATACAGTAAAAGAAGCTTAAAATAATAAATAATCGTTGAGAAATATGGTCGCCCGGATTTCTATTGAAATCAATTGTGATTATAGTGACTATACGGATTACAACCAATCATTTAGAACCCAATCCTCTAGAAATCTAACTACCGTGTAAAAGTGAGGTAAGATCATTTAACTAAAATACACGGAACGCTACATGTAATAGAAGAGCCTAACAACTTTTTGAAGCCAAATTTTAAGCCCATGCACGGGTGTTTATTTCAATCAATTTTCACCCCGTGAGAGAATCTCGAAAGACTACAGACTTGTGTCTGTGTGTAATCTCGCATGTTTGGGTGTAATGTCGCGTTTTCCTGGTGTAAGTTGCAAGCTTAAGATAACATGACGCACCTTTAGCACGACGCCGTTGTTGTAATTAAAAACAACAGCGTCGTCGTGGCAACTGCAGACTGATTAAGAAAATTCATCACCAACGCACCATATGTATTTGTAAAGCGATGACTAGCTTTAGAAAAACTAGGGAAAAAAATTGCTGTTGCGTATGATACAAAAAACGTTAAAAAGTTGTTGTTGTTGTCGGAACAAAAGTTTTTTCGGCCATATTTAAGTTCACAGAAAAAAAATTAAACAACCATGACCACGCTGTGACTTTGACAAAAATTGAAGCGTCTTCGTCACACAACGCGCCGATTTTCAAACAGACGCATGCGCAGTTGTTGATATCCGAGAATTTACTTCCTGTAAGCGTCGTCGTGAGGGCGCATCGCGTGAACTTAAGCTCGCTAATATTTGCTTCATGTGGCGTTCCATGTACTTCATACGATCAAATATTTTATAAGCTAGATCTAGACTATCATTTTTCAACTGTATATCAACTCTAGAAAAGCAGATAATAATGGTAAATATTGCCAGTTTTGCCACCTTTCAAGATGGCAAATCGAAATTAATGAATTTTGGCGGAGTCAGATATCTAGTAGATTGGGTTCTAGGTCATTGATTACAACATATCAATATATGAATATTTGAATCAGTAAAAGAATATAATGAGCACCCCCTCCTCTCCACCAATTCCCAATCTTCATCGAACCATGGGTAAAGCTGTAAATTAAATCACTACGAATACGAATAAATTTTACCTTTTCTGTAAAAATAAAGCAATTTTTAGCTGTTTTTTTGTTAATCTGAAAAAATATCATGGATCTAGAATATTTACATCTATGCATTTGCAAATAACCTATACCCAGTAGCTACATGGTTCAACGTTCAAATAATCAACATCATAAAAATAATTTTAGAAACGTGTTCAAAACATACAATAGTTAAGTTTATCTTGGTTTTTCATTGGTCAATTGTTCTTACCAGCAGTGCATATTAATTACATGAATTTTATTACTAGGATATCTGAACACCCCGTTTCCTGGAACTGATAATAAATATCTTACTGAGCCTTTGTTTTGTTATTGTCCGATACCAACGCTTTTTGTCGCCGTAAGGAAGTTGAAGGTTGAGAGTTAAAGTTACTGCTCAAACAATCAAGGATTGATAGAACTATTCTTCGAGACGTGTTCAAAATTAGTTGGCCACGCTACCATCATTTTTCTGTAAATATCTTGAATTTGTTGGAAAAATCGATTTTGTTTTGCAAGCTCATTTACTGAATTTCTTCCTTTTCAAAATCAGTCTCGCTTTCAATATCGAAAAAAGAATGAGTTGAGCCATTTGACTGATCCGGAGGTTTGGTCCTCTCAGCAAATTTTGGTGGCTGTCTCTGGGCTTCTGCTCAGTGTTCTTACCTCAACCACGACCACCAGCCACTGAGCCACACCACCACCTTTTATCCAACCCTTAATCGTACGATGTATCCTGTATAGGTTCCTCGTCCTCGTCCTCTTTTGCAAAATTACGAGGTGATTTATTGTTGTAGTTTGTAATTCATCTGGCAAGAGCGCTGCTCTCCTGTTGTTGAGGAAAAATATACGCGGGAAATACAGAAATATAAAATGATTTGGATCTGTTATCGGCTTACATGATTGGACTAAGTGAGTCACATGACGCATGTTCAAAGAATAATCAAATATGGAAGAACGTTGGAGTGAGTATTTGGCTGACAACAAACTTTAAATCATATCTTTATCGCTTATTATCATGGCCGAAGAGATTGACTTCAATAAAATACCATTGGAGGATCGAGTACAACATAAGGTTGTTTGATATTAGATGTTTATTGTTTTACAATGTATACAAAATGCATAAAGCATATATTATCATTAGGGTAGATTTAAATTACGAATAATTAAAGAAACTGTACAAATATGTCCAATTGTATTATTTCTGAACGATTGTTACCTTTCATTAACAAATCCGCTTGTTTAGAATCTTAAATTTTTAAAGTTTTCAATTGATAACTATATATATATATATATATGGTTAATATTACGTATAATTTGAACATGCACACAGTTTACTTTCTGTCAAATTATTTTGCCTTCCGACATCCGAATTTTGCTTCGGATCAAACTGAATTCTCCTTAAAATTTCAAAACTTCAACCTTGAAAGAGATTCATTTCACACAGACTTAATTTAATGGCATGCATTTACAATTCATGTGTGAAAAAACAGCAGCTCTTTTGTATTATACATACAAATTTTATGTCAAATTTTGATGCAACTTTCCTACACAAGTGAAAAGTTTATTTGTTAATCAGACAATAGGGATTCATACTAACTAATGCACTGAACTTTTCTAATTTTGTAACATCAACAATTGCAGGCAGAAATATATGCACAATTTTAACCAAGAATTACAAAATTAAACTTGTCAGGGACAAGGAAAGTGCTGTGCAAGCACCATTAATGTGATATGTAGTTTGACTATTGAAGAATCTGTTCATTTATTTCAGGTTTGGAAAGCAAGAGTAAATGGTTATGAAGAATGTGTGAAGCATTTCAAAGCTATTGATAACGAAAACAGCAACGAGTACACAAAGTTTGTAAGCCTTTTGAAGAAATTTGTCATAGACAGTAATGCAGTTGCCCAGGAAAAAGGGCTTGATGCAGTCTTGGCTTTCATCGATTATGCATCACCATCAATTTCTGGCAGGTTTGTGTAAACTTGTGCTTATATATTGGTGTTCGTGTCAAAGGTGACATGAAGTTTAGTTTTCAATATTTTCAGTCATACAATATCGACCACCTTGTCCTTCTTGTTTTCTTGCCTCCATTATACCGCAATATTACAAGAAGCACACAAACAGAGCAAAGTGCAAACAAGTTGACATCACATTACTCAAGTTATATGCAATATTGACCACATGCAAATGTGACAATCAGATTACATTTGAGAGCTGAATTCAAGCTAAAACTACAGTGGTAAACAAAGTTTAGAGACTCTTTTACTTTTACAAGTGATAAATTTTGATAATATTTGACAAAATTGATGTCGAAAGCAATTCACTTCATATCACCTTGAAGCCATCTGACATCAATTTTTTTGCACTTATGACTGTGTTTCCATGCTCCTCATAATATTGTTGTATAAAGGAAGCAAGAAAACCAATTAGACAAGATGGTCGATATTGTATCGCCATTTGAAAACCTCTTTGACTGCATAAAAATTTTGAAAACTAATATTTGCTTCATGTCACCTTTAACATAAGAAATGACACAAAGGCTTTACAGTTTAGGTAACAACAGCGGTAGTAGATGTTGTATAGTAATATGTTCACTAAAAATACCATATTTTACAATAACAGGTGTTAACATGAGCTTTTGACCTTTCTATTGCAAAAATATGTTTTCAAAATATAACATTTTGTTATTTGCATTTATTTATGCAACATCTATAAGATTAATGCAATTTAGTGAGCATAGCTACATGTAAATGAGGACTCCGAAACAGTGCCTGTTTGTGATTTTGATTGGGCTATTTTAATATTTCATTGTTCAACAAATTTTACCAAAACGACTGTTTACTGGAACTGGTCAAGAAAAAATGTTAACTGGATACTGGATATCAGGCTTATTAGCTAGTAAAGCTCTGATAGTTTGTGTTAAATGAAGTATGTGCTCAGAGCTTTACTATATTCTTGTGTATGTATTGTCCTCAAACATCAACAAGATAAATGATTTTTGGCAGCTGGCAAATATTTACAGCTATATCATTTTGCTATCAATCACTGGCTGATAATAAGTAACATTATTGCACAAATTTCTGTTAAAGGTGAAAAAGTAATCTGCAATCTGTTTTCGTAAACTGTAATAAGAGTTCCCTCATTCGGTAATTTTCCAGCAAGTATTGCAGTATATTGCCAGAAATTCACATATATTCCCTGACATTGGATTCAGCTATTAAGATCCAGCATATCCCTAGGCTACTTCTTTATCCATGCTATGCAATTGACGTTACAACTAAAATTTGCCGATCTTGTCTCATGTGGCGATTGCTATTTACGTATTGGGAAAGAAACAGGGAGGAGGGGAAGGCCTTGTGGAGAAAAATGATTGATTGGAAGTATGTATGCATCTCTATCACAAGATATTCAACCTTGTGGTTTCACTTATATTTAACTTAGGGCTGCAGCTGATGTGGTTGCTGGTGTTGTGACGAAATGCATGAATGCTCGACCAAAAACCAAACAGAGAGGTCTTGATATTTGCATGATGTATCTCGAAATTGAAAAACAAGAGGCTGTTCAGGAGGAAATCCTCAAAGGTCTGGATAATAAACAGCCGAAGATTGTCGCCGGTTGCGTCACCTTTTTAAGAAATGCTATAAGGTAATTTTTGTTGTTCTCTATATTTCTTTGAAATGTCTTTATCGAGGTCGGGGAAATAACTTCTTTAGGCAGCGTCGTTAAATCGATTTGAAGAACATTTGAAATACATTTAAAATATATTTGATATGACGAAAATTTTAGGTTCGTAAAATCTTTCGTGCGTAAAAGAGTCTCTACAACGGATGTGACGTAAGAAGAGCTTTCATTCGACAGGTTTATAGGAAACAACAACAAAGCTGTTGTAGCAAATCTTACGTAATGGAAACTTAAGATGCCGCCTATATGTATCTGAGCGAATAATAAAAAAAACGTTTAAAGAAATACCACTGTTCAGAACTTTAGACGCTATTTCCCTCTGAAATTCCATGTTATTATACGCTATTTATACTTAACGGAACTAGCATGTTCTCCTTTTTCATCACTTCCGGTGCAGAGTCCTTACGTAGTTCTTAGTCGTAAAAGTGCACGGAGATAATATTTTCCATTCCCTGAACATTTTGAAAATTTTCGCAAAATTGATGTCTAAAGACGTTATTTTTCTAAACACTGATGTACGTTTAAAACTTCTTAATTATGTGCGTTTATCACGTGTGTCCAACCTCAATTGAAAACAGTGGTAAGAAAACATTTCTACCCTTTTGGGAACACATAGTTTATTTCCAGACATGCGCATTTTGGCTTACTATCGTAGTGATTATTTTTTGGCCGCGCGAGCAAAGATTGGGACTGGTTTAATTGCTGACTTCAAATTTCTTGCTGGAAGTAGCTTTCCATTTGCAATATGTGATATCTTCCCTCTCGATGAGCTCGTCGAGTTAAAGATACTTCTGTTCAGTTTTTTTATTTGTTTTTTTTTCAGCGAATTTGGTAGCAAAATCTTTCCTTTAAAACCTGTTGTAAAAGTGCTGCCAAAATTATTTGATCACAGTGATAAGAATGTTCGACAAGAGGTGATGTTATAGTTTCTAAATAGACGTTAATGGTTATGATTTTTTTTAAGGAATTTTCAAGGAATTCGACAAGGAATTTTCCTTACCAATTAATTGTCGGAAGATGACTAAACATCGTCATAAAAATAATTTCATGACGAAAGTATTATCTTCATTAATTTCTATGTTAGCGCTACATGCCATTGATATGTCGCTTAAACAAAATCAGGGCAATCCACCCCGGTTTTTTTTTTGTTAGAATCCTCTGAAATTTGGAGTAGTGCCGGGGGGGGGATCTGGCTCTCTTCAACTTTTGCCCTACGTTGTCCTTAACCTTTGATGAATGTGTTTGTTCACGTAACGGAATGCAAAAAGCCAGGACTCAGGCCACTATGCTCACACGCACTAACTGATCAACTGAAAGACCATTTCATTTCTCAAAAAAAAAATAAAGAAAAATAACAATGATCTTTGTATTTTCATGTGCGGCACGAACGCGTGTTTCTTGACTCTTTTAGGCAAATAAAGACTGGACGATCTTTTATAAGTAGTATTTTCGTAAATTGTCGTATTGCATGGTTGTTTTTGTAGACTAAACTTCTCGCCATTGAGATTTATAAATGGATCAAAGACGCCGTGAAGGCACAACTCACTAACATTAAACCAGTTCAGGTGAGTGTAAAGTATTTTGACTATCTCTGATGAACATTGAACTATAATACATGGAACGCTATATGTAATACAAAACCCTAATAATATTTTGAAGCCGTGATTTTACCCCAGACACGCGTGTGTAGTCAATTATTACTCCGCGAGAGAATCTCGGAACACGACACACGCGTGTCTGGGGTAAAATCTCGCGTGTCTAATGTAAGATTTGGCTTCAATTATTTCCTGCAGGTAGCGTTCCATGTATTTTAATTCAATGCTGATGAATGAACTCATTTGACTTTCCTGCTCCCAAAATCCAGCTTAAAGTAGGACACCTAACATAGCTTCGTCCCACAAAACGTTCGCGTTGTTTTAGTGAAGCCAACCTTATTGTTTCCTTGATTGTTCAGAATGAACTTTTTCTATTATTTTCATTCGATGGACAAACAATGAAATTAATTTTCTACGTATAATTAGTTTTTTGGAAATTTGTATTTTTTGTTTAAAAATTCGAGCTGGCTGTGCTGTGAAGCGGCGCAATTGTGAACCAAAACATCTTTGTGGTAAAATACGTAAAGAACACAGGTTCGTATATGTTTGCTGGAAACATTGACACCTTGTAAATATTTTTTACGTAGTCTGTGCTAGACATATACATGATTGTTAACGTTTGCTATTTTTAACATTTTTAACTTTCCTTCCTTTTTAAGAAGGAATCGATTAAGTGGTGTGATGAGCGGAGAATCTACCACATGCAATTAATTAATGTCTTGTCGTACAGTTATTTAGCGATTATTGTGTGTGTGTGGGAGGGTTGTAGTAAAATGATTGAAAACATTTCATTCCTTAATGAATCCTAATTTCTCATGATTCTTTAGATGAAGGAGCTCGAAGGAGAGTGGTCAAAACTGGATCCCGCTCCTCCTAAACCAACTCGATTAACCCGATCACAGCAAGAAAAACAGGCACAAGCACCGCAGGTGGAAGAAAGCAGTCAGGGCGGAGGAGAAGCACCCGATGAAGAAGGTATGAAAATTTTAAAACGTGTTTTTACTTTGTATGGTGTAATCGTTTGCATTACATACGTACGTACAATATAGTTTGTCCTGGAATAGAGTAAGTTGCATGTTTGTACTTGTAGATCGTCCAGGTTAGTAGTAGAGTCCTGCGGTGAAGTTGGTGAGTAAGTTGCATGTTTGTACTTTTAGGTCGTCCAGGTTAGTAGTAGAGTCCTGCGGTGAAGTTGGTAGAGTAAGTTGCATGTTTGTACTTTTAAGGTTAGTAGTAGAGTCCTGCGGTGAAAAGTAAGTTGCATGTTTGTACTTGTAGATCGTCCAGGGTAGTAGTAGAGTCCTGCGGTGAAGTTGGTAGAGTAAGTTGCATGTTTGTACTTGTAGATCGTCCAGGTTAGTAGTAGAGTCCTGCGGTGAAGTTGGTAGAGTAAGTTGCATGTTTGTACTTGTAGATCGTCCAGGTTAGTAGTAGAGTCCTGCGGTGAAGTTGGTGTTCATGTCTTAACGCGGACAATGTACATCTACAAACATGTATCACTTCTCCCTCGCTCATTTTACTTTCACTTTAAATAGAAAAAATGTTGGGTATACATAGTCATGCACCATATAAATCCTAGCACGGTTTTTATATGCGCATGAAAAACATGTGACTTGGACGAGATTTGAACTCCAAACGAGATTTGAGCACCTTCGGGATACTAGTCCGCCGCTCTACCTGTTGAGCTACCAAGCCCACAGATATTGGAGACGAGTCAAATCTCTTTAAAACTACGTATGGACGAGAGATTTTTGCCACGATAGCAGTATCCTTAAGGTGCGAGTTCAAATCTCGTCCATGTCATATGTTGTTCATGTGCATATAAAAACCGTTTTAGGATTTATAGTATGTATAATCTCTGATGATGGCTTTGGAATAGTGCTGCACCGATATAGGATTTTACCGATGTACCGATTAGCCAATATTAAATTGCCGATATTGTGCCGATACCGATATTTTATGTCATTTTACGAAACTTAAACATCATAAAGTATGCCACTTTGTGCTCACCAGTGACTATTCATTTGATGAAATAAAATTCAATGTTTATTTACACTGCAGCCATATTTCACAACACAACTGCCAATGGAAATTAATATCATGCGGAACTAACAAGTTTTAAGTAGTGTCAATTTAACAAAAATTGTTAAGGTAATATACTTAGTATTGCTAAACCATGATTCATTTCAATTGTATTTCTATGTCAATGAAATGTCTAAATATCAGTATTATGAGCAAGAAAATAATAACGATAATTCTATTTTAGAGCCGGTACGCCGATAGCGATATCGGTGCATCACTAGCTATACATCACAACTCTGTTAATTACTACATCAACTCATTTATTTATAAAGAAAAATATCATAATGTTTATTTTCTTCAGAGTCCGAGGTTGTTAACGTCGATCCTTATGATTTGCTCGATCCTGTCGACATTTTATCAAAAATGCCGAAAGACTTTTACGAAAATATGGTAGGATGTTAAAATCAATCTGTGAGTTCTCACGAAAGCGCATCGACCGCATTGAGGCAAATTTGCAAAACTGTCCTTAGCGCCTGCGCAAAAAGAGAAAATGTTTTTAAAACTGCGACACCAAAAGCAAAAGGCCATGCTGTGTCAGAGTGTTAAATAGTTTCAGCGTAAATTATAGACACGTAAACACCTAAGAATTTTGCGTTTTTCCGTAGAATTCGAGAACTTAAGGAGAAATCAACATTAAATTGCCTTGTTGATATACCAACGAAAATAATTTTTAATTCAATTTATTACTCATCGATTTTTTATAAACCAATCAAAATGCGATGAAAATTTTGTGTAAGATTTTCAAAAGTTAATTGCGAAAAAGGTTCAAGAAAAGATTTAGATTTCGTGAAGACAATACAAAATAAAACTTAAGATATCACGTGATGATGACGAAGCCTTATAAATTGTGTAGTTGAGTTTTTTCAACCAGACTCAATCATCACTATTTTTACAATCAGTTCGGACACAGTGCAGGAAATATACAGTAGGGGCACTTCGCTGTGCAACTGGCTGCTGTATATTTAATTAGATTACTGCCTGCCGTTTGCCATATCGTCAATCCTATTTGTCAAACCAGGGGTGGAAAAAGTATCGGAACTTGAGAACATAGTTCCCTGAAATTATATAGAGTTGAGAGTTTGGAAAGAAATTTTCTAGGAAGCATAACATTTTTAAATCAGTTCATTAAACCTCACAATTAATAGTTAATAATTAATAACTTTTAAACATAATTCATATTTTTGTTGTTTTGGTGATTCAACAATTAATTTTCACAGAAAATTTTTAGCATTTGTTGTGGTTTCAAGAAAGAAAAAAACTTTTTCCACCCCTTGGTCACACAACGCAATTTTCTAGCTGTCACTATTGTAATCACATGCGCAATAAGATATACATGGCACAAAAATATTCATTGGAGTGAATCTACTTTGTTCTCTATACTGTGGTTCGGATAAACAGTCAACACTGATCCTACACAACGTGTTCTAACCTGGATGGCGATCTGATATTATGTCAATTTTTTAACAGGCTGCGACAAAATGGTCAACGAGGAAAGAAGCTTTGGAACAACTGGATAAGTTGACTTCTAATCCCAAGATTGAAGGTGGACAATATGGAGAACTAATGGCCGTACTTAAAAAGGCAGGATATCCCCCGGTTTTTATTATATGAGTTTACTTTATGCTCTTTGAAGGAAATTACGCATTAAGTGTTTTGTATGACACGAACATAAATAAAGTTAAGACTATTTCATGTTAGACAGGCGAACTTTTATTAGTTTCAATCTCAGAACTGTTGTTTGCAAAATGCCATAAGCTCCTGCAGAGTGTTTCTTTGATATTTTCCTTCAATAGCCAGGGATGGATTTAGGGAGGAATTCGGGGTACACACCCTAGCCTTGGCTGGAAGGTGCTCAGGGATATTCAAATTTTCCTACAACATATTGATATAACAACGAATTAAGCTGAAACAACTGTCAAACTACACATTTCTTAGGGTATCAAGTCAAATCCACCGACCTCTGACTTGTGAATGACGTAACGACACCCAAAAGAACCACAGAAATCTAATCCAAGCTAGACTGAGCGAAAGATATCTTATAAAAACTAGAGCAACCCCATCCTACAAAATCATCCCGGATACATCTATCCCTGACAGTAGCTGTATTACATAGCATGGCAAATATGAAAAATGCTTTTTTCCTTAGCTATTTTTGTTGTGAGCATGCTGGGCAACTAAGTATTTTGTGAACAACGGACAACTAAGTATTTTTGTGAACAACGGACAACTAAGTATTTTTGTGAACAACGGACAACTAAGTATTTTGTGAACAACGGACAACTAAGTATTTTGTGAACAACGGACAAGTATTTTGTGAACAACGGACAACTAAGTATTTTGTGAACAACGGACAACTAAGTATTTTGTGAACGGACAACTTTTTGTGAACAACGGACAACTAAGGATTTTGTGAACAACGGACAACTAAGTATTTTGTGAACAATGGACAACTAAGTATTTTTGTGAACAACGGACAACATTTTGTGAACAACGGACAACTAAGTATTTTGTGAACAACGGACAACTAAGTATTTTGTGAACAACGGACAGCTAAGTATGTGAACAACGGACAAAGTATTTTGTGAACAACGGACAGCTAAGTATTTTTGTGAACAAAGGACAGCTAAGTATTTTTGTGAACAAAGGACAACTAAGTATTTTAAGAACAACGGACAACTAAGTATTTTTGTGAACAACGGACAACTAAGTATTTCAGATTGCTCGGTGGAAAACATTGTATTAATGTGATGTCACGTGACTTTAGTGAACCAATCATTGACCATGTACATTACATTATGTACATAACAATACCAAGTGATTATATATTTCTAATCATGTAATTTTCAGGCTATTACCAAAGATAGCAACGTGGTAGTCGTATCTTTGGCTGCTAAATGCGTCAATGGTTTGGCAACGGGACTGCGAACAAAGTTCTCTCCTTATGCAACGTCTATTGTGCCGCCATTTTGGAGAAATTCAAGGAAAAGAAACAGAATGTTGTGACGGCGCTAAGGGACGCCATCGATGCAGTGTATTTAACGGTTTGTGCTTCCAGTTTTTTTATTTTGTATAAAGTGTAGACCCACTGGATTCCACTGTCTTCGTATAATGCAACAGTCAAGTGGAAGCTTAATTTGATCAACTTTAAAATTTTTCAACAATCCACCAATAAATCGGATGTAGCTTATTTAAAGCTTTTAGAAGCTCTAGATGAAAAAGCCAGACCCAGACATAAAAGACATTTTGCTTATCGTTTCTCTTATTATTTCGTGCAAGCGGTCGGTCTGTTTTCTTCAAGTCATTTTAAAATTTGAGATCCGCATGTTGCGTAAAGAGTTTTTGAGTGTTTTACTGAAAGTGCACCATGTACTTTGATCGTGTATAGAAAGTTGAAGTACAGGTTAGGATATCGTAGGATTCATAGTGATAAATATATAGATATGGGGATAGCTTCAGTGCGCATTTCAATAATTTCCAAATTGAAAAATACTAAATTGTTAGTGTATGTACCATGTTGTCGAAAGAACGCTGTAAAAATATGTCAAGTTTTGTTGGTCGTTTTTCTCGAAACACATTTTGCCAGCTATTTTAACATTAGGAGTGTTTACATGGGAAATCAACACGAGGATTGACATTTTGCGGGAATTTTGAATTTTGAAGATAACGAACATAAACATTATAACAACTTTTTTTTTCCATTGCTCCTGCGTTAATACAGTTTAATACTTGCATGAAACCAATTGCTGCTTTCCTACGCACTCATTTTAGCCCATTTAGCCGCCTTATTTGCTCACGAGCTTCAATTTCCCAGAAGACATTACGCATGGCGCATGCGTGCTTCGTCATTAATCGCAATCTCATTCCAGAATGAAACTCAATTCGTGTTTACGTGAGGTTAAAACCAATTTTCGATCCGGAATTAACTCGATGCAGATCGAGTTGTAACTCATTCCGTATTTATGTAGACATGCAATTAGATTTCTTTTAAAATGTAATGAGTTCATTCCGGATCGAAAGGCATTCTGGACTCATGTAAACACCCCCTTATAGGCTAGAAAGAAGTCGCTAGTATGCATGCAGCCGTAGAAATCGTCGACGTTACTTCAACTTGAAACGAATGATGACTGAAGTACTGATAAAGACGAGATAGTCGATGTCACAATGATACCTAGATCTATTACTGTTAATCACTTCTTGGAAAATATATATTTTCGCCATTTTCTTTGCTTTAATATCACAAATCGTCGGAAAGGTCCTGAAACAGCCGTCAGCTATTTCGGATCTTGTCTTACACGACTTTGAAACAAAACCCTTGAGTCTTGATCGAGCAAACACGAAAAGCAAATATTGACAAATATATGTAGAATTGTACGTACATTGTTTCTCTATAGTTTCTCTATAAATTGTCTCCGACTAACAGTGATTTTTGTTAATGTTTATTTTTGTGTGTATGTAGACAAATATTGCTGCCATCCAAGAGGAGGTCATAGCATCTATATCCAGTAAAAATCCATCGGTCAGAGAGGAGACGATCAAATTTCTTACTCGTGTTGCGTGCAAGAGTAAACCTGCCGATCTTCCACGACAAGTTTTGAAGCCCATTTGTGCAAGTTTATCAAAGGTAAAGCGTTGTACTCTTTACATATTTAAAGTAGTAACATTATTTATTGTGCGTGTAGCTCATAGAACTCCAAGAAACCGTAATCAAAGATAAAGGTGTAACATTTGTTGAGTGTGCGTGTAGCTCATTGAACTCCAAGAAACCGTAATCAAAGATAAAGGTGTAACATTATTTGTTGAAATTGCGTGTAGCTCATTGAACTCCAAGAAACCGTGATCAAAGATAAAGGTGTAACATTATTTGTTGAGTGTGCGTGAACATTGAACTCAAACCGTAATCAAAGATAAAGGTTTAACATTATTTGTTGAGTGTGCGTGTAGCTCATTGAACTCCAAGAAACCGTAATCAAAGATAAAGATGTAACATTATTTATTGAGTGTGCGTGTAGCTCATTGAACTCCAAGAAACTGTAATCAAAGAAAAATTTGTAACATTATTTATTGAGTGTGCATGTAGCTCATTGAACTCCAAGAAACCGTATCAAAGATAAAGGTATACAATTCATATATTTAGGGAAACCTTTATAGCGACTTGTTGAGTGCAAAATTAACTTGACGCATGCTAGAAAAATTACAGTCACACAATGTGTATATTGAAAGAAATCATTGTTTATTCTGTGTGCAAAGCTGCTATGCTACAATATTTCATTATTTGAAAGAAATCGTAACTACGTAGAACCGCCACTCGGTTAGTTTTTCGCCCATGGACGAAACTAGAACGGGGGGTGTGTATATTCATATATTCATATCTGCTTGACTTTTTCAAAAGAAATCACCTGGGTAGCGCTGAATATATGAAACTTCAAACCCACCCACCCCCTACCCACGATATGTTCAACTGTGCCATTTAAGTTGCCTGACTTAAGGGAGAGAATGATCACTCTGTTGTTTACGTATGTACCAAAATACCGTCATGTCGTTTTGCTGCATGTCAATAAACTTATTGTTTATTTTTTATGTAGAGTATGGATGATACATCAGGTCCAGTTCGAGATGCTGCTGCAGAAACCTTGGGGACATTGTTGAAGTTGTTTGGTGAGAGAACGTTGGGACCTTTTATTGATCAACTGGACAAGATTAAACTTGACAAGGTATGCAGAATAATGATGTGATTGCATTTATAGACTTAGGCAAATCTCGGCTATCGTGGATTATTACCGCGATTGACTTAAAAATTAAATGTGACACATGCGCAGAACAAATTACAATTATACAATATCGTTGTGCGATTGACGTGATGATCATTTTGTTTTCATAATACTGAAGTGGAGATTTTCTTTACTTTACAAAATTGATTTATTCTTTACGAGATGAGACACATGTAAGTCTTTTTTCATCGTGAAAATCCGGACAAGGTTCAAGATATTGTAACAGACCGCCCTCTGCTGCAGCTAATCAGATTGCAGGAAAGGCTAGGATTTCGACTTCTGCTGATTTCTAAAAAAATAAATAATATTCTCTTATTTGTACATTAAGGTACTCAAAACGTTTGTTGACTCGCGAGAACTTTAAAGTTTTTGCCATGTTTTTCGTTTGTCAACAAGTGTGTTATGTTGTTTCGTCATTGGGTACTGTGCCGTCTCAAATGTCTGCTTCGTGTTCTGTCGTGTCAGTCTAACGGATGCTAATATGTACGTTAAGGTGAAAGAATTTTCCGAAAGCTGAGATCACCGCCGTACCAAATCGTGGAGTTGGTGGAAGCAACGCAAGTCAGAGTGGGAAGTCGTCTTCAGCACCTTCTACAAAGAAACCTCCTGCGTCTAAGTCGAGTGCTTCAAAGTCAGCTGCTTCGAAAAGCTCCGAAACGTCATCATCAAAACCCGCTGCGTCCTCTGAACCAAGTAAGAAGCCCAGCTCAACAAGGCCAGCAAAAACCGATGCAGCTAAAACTAAGGTAAGTGTAAATAAAATCGTATTTTTGTTGTAGAAAATGTTTATTTTTATTTTCGCCTTAAGTCCCGTTTCAAGCGTTGTATTTGGCCTTAGGTCAATTGAACTTCAGGGTTTCTTCAGAATGATCCTTTCATGAGATTTGAATCGGGATGAAAATGATATTGATCTTGACATGTTGGAAATGCAATTTTAGTATTAAATGATGGCTTGGCTTGTGGATCGAGTCATTTAGTTTCGGTGAATAGTATGAGATTCAAATCTAACTCATCGACCAGATTTACTTTCTTCTTTGACCGGAGATTTAGCTACAAGTCGACGACTAAATTCACATACAGCTTAACAATTTACAGCGAAATGATCAATCGTTAACACATCCCTCGTTTTTCTTTTAGAAATTAAGAAATGTTGTTTTTATGTTTTTAGCCTTCTGGCAAGAAGGGGACTGGTACAAAGAAGCCTTCAAAAACTGACTCAGCGCAATCTTTCAAGGACGACGAAGTGATGAAAGAAGCAGAAATGACGGTGACATTTATCTTTCTTTTGCTTTCGAACCAATAATCAATTACGTCACGAGTAACTTAGTGTTGTTAACAAGGTCACCTGTCCTTTGAGTTTTCCTTGTACCAATCACGTGACTGCTATATTCGTAGTGGAGGAATTCAAATGCTACTCACCTGCTTTATTTCATTCGTATTGAGCAGCCAGAAGAAGTTGATGCTAAAGCCGAAGAGCTGATTTCGTCCAATATACGTGAGCAATTGGTCTCTACCAATTGGAAAGAGCGTCTTGCTGGGACAGAAGCTTTAACGCAGGTGTGAATTTGTCGTTTAAGGGGTCTTGAAGTGAAACAATGATTGAATTGATCGTTTGCTTTTTAAAGAAACTTTTAAAGTATGACTCATTAATCACTGGTAAACGATCAGTTTCATCACTGCTCATTATCATCTTTTTCAATCACCCCAATCATCATTATCCAAAGCAATGACCCCAATCATCATTATCATCTAAAGCAATCACCCCAATCATCATTATCATCTTTTTCAATCACCCCAATCATCATTATTATCGTAAGCAATCACCCCAATCATCATTATCATCTAAAGCAATCACCCCAATCATCATTATCGTAAGCAATCACCCCAATCATCATTATCATCCAAAGCAATTACCCCAATCATCATTATTATCGTAAGCAATACCCCAATCATCATTATCATCCAAAGCAATCACCCCAATCATCATCATCCTAAGTATTACCATCATTATTATCCTAAGCAATCACCCTAATCATCATTATCCAAAGCAATCACCCCAATCATCATTATTATCGTAAGCAATCACCACAATCATCATTATTATCCTAAGCAATTACCCCAATCATCATTATCGTAAGCAATCACCCCAATCATCATTATTATCGTAAGCAATCACCACAATCATCATTATCATCCTAAGCAATTACCCCAATCATCATTATCGTAAGCAATCACCCCAATTATCATTCCAAAGCAATTACCCCAATCATCATTATTATCCTAAGCAATCACCCCAATCATCATTATCATCCAAAGCAATCACCCCAATCATCATTATTATCCTAAGCAATCACCCCAATCATCATTATTATCCTAAGCAATCACCACAATCATTATTATCCTAAGCAATCACGACATTCATCATTATCGTCCCAAGTAGCTAATGACCCCATTTATCATCATTGTTCAAGCAATCACCCGATTCATTCATCACTATCATCTATGCAATGACCATTATTATATTGATTTTCTTTCATCAATGCTGTCTAAGACGCATGTCAGTTTGCCTAAAGAAGAAATTATTCAATTTTTTTGCATTTACAAATTATGTTTTTTTAGTTCGTCAAAGAAATGGATCCAAAGACTTTACCATCCCAAGTGTTGATTCGAACTATGGCAAAGAAACCTGGCTGGAAAGAAAGTAATTTTCAGGTATTTCATTTTATTCACATCGTAAATACCTCACATTCTGCGAGTTTATCCGAAAAAGGAAGAATTCGAAACTGGTTTCATAATCTTAGTTTTGTTAGTTATTTTATCGAATGGCAAATGTTATAGAACTCGTCATTGCGTCTTTCTATTTTGTTTTACTACGTCTTGTGCTTCTTTGAATTTGTCTGAAGAAGAAAAGAGTTCTCGTGGAATTAAAATAAAAAATCTAGGCGATCGACTTTCCGATGTTGATTTTTCTTACTTTCATATAATCTTTAAAATGTTTTAAATAACTTGATAACCTCCTCAGTAGAATTGACTCTTGTAGCTACTTTTTCAAAAGATATTTATCTGTTTTTCTTTGTGCAAATGATATCGTTATGACATAACAGAGCATAATGACATTTTATAAGCCATCAATTTTCCACATCGTTAGAGCGTTTTATAAGCAAATACAACAGTTTAATGAGTACATGTTTGCAGTGGCAGATCTAGGGCTAGTCAAAATAAATTACTGCTGCACATTTTGGAATATATTTACATTTCTAAGCGCCTCAGAGACAAGTGCATTGGTAAAATTATATTCTTTAAAAGTCAAAACCAATAGTGCTTTTCTGAAAGTACTTTGAATTTAAAATTAGGCAGCTTTGCGTTATTTTGCTCGCTACTGCTCGCTTTAACTACCCCTAGATCCATGTTTGCATGACTAATTATAAAGATGCCAAAGTGAGGTATATTAATGCTGACTGTCCACAAAGACTATTTTTTAAGACTAATTATGCAATGTGATGTCATAACAATGTCATTTGCATATTGTAGAAAAGTTACATATCTCCATAAAGAAATAAAAAACAACAGAAAGAAGTTTATCGAAGAAGTCATTAAGTAATTTTAAATTGCCTTCACAATGCAATAAAAAACATAATGGTAAAAATTTGGTGTCATAAACACTTTGAAAACAATTTGCAAAGACTCTGTGTGAAAGCTAGAAATAAGCTTCCAATAATATCTTTAATATCAACTTCAAAAATGGTTGCGAATGCAGCGTTTCAGTTATATATTACAGCTCAGCGGCTACAGGTCCCGAGTCTTTATAATGTGTTCACTTTTCTTGATCCGTCTTTTGTTTTTACAGAAAGTTCATGTAAAAATGATAACCATCGTCTTGTTTAGGTTTTGAAAAACAAGTTCAACTTATGTGCTATTATTGCCACACAAGCGACATCTTTTTCGAAGAGGAGTGCATTTTACGCAATATCTGGCCTTGTCGACAAAATTGGCGATATAAAGGTAACGCATTTTAGTTGACTGCAAACTCGTTCGCAAACGCGTTCTCAGGGATGGCAAACTGCGTTTTTTGTTTTTAAAAGTCTCTGCTTGAAGTCATACAATTGAAAAGACTTTTTCCTATGTTGATGGAGCATGACGTTTCGTATCTATTGTGAAAGTTTGAGAAATTGTACTGTCAGCAATATTTTCAAAAGCTATTGCGCATGTAACCATTGAATATTTTATACAGTCTATGGATGTTTACAAAAAGTTTTGACGAAAAATCACATATTTTGTAAATTGCTTGTTCATGGTTATTTTATTGTCATATTTAATGAAACTTGTTGTCAAAGTTCTAGGAAATTTCATTATTTTCTTTTAGTTCGCACCAATAAAAATTAAATGCCAACGAAATAATTTCTTCCAAAATAAAACTCGAATTTTTTAAAGATCATTTGTATATAAAATTGTCGATTGCATTTCCTGTTATTTTCCTGGCAATGTTTTTTTCTTATTGTTGTACACTTTACAGTTAAAAGAACAATGTAAAGAAACTCTGATGGTTTTTGCTGAAAACCTTTCATTAAACTATGTTAGTTTAAAGGTACGTCTGTTGGAAACTCGCCACAATACAAGATATCAAACGCCATGATACGTTAGCCCGCCGCACACTAGTGAACTTGCCGTGCGTACTTGTTATTCGTGACAAGTACGATCGGATTAGTCACACAATTAGACATACAGATTATTCAAATATCAATAGGAAATTTTGTCGATCACACTTGTCACGAATAACAAGTACGCGCGGCAAGTTCACCCGTGTGCGGCGGGCTTAATGTTCTTGTTGTTGGCTATTTTCAATCATTCTCAGGTCTCCGCTTGTGCCAGCGAACAAAAGAATCCGAAGGTGTTAGCGGAAAGTCTTAATTGGTTGGGTGATGGAATTAAAGCGTTTGGTATGAAGTAAGTGTAGTGCGGTTTTTTATAAACTAAAGAAGGTGTAATGCAGTGAGATTTAAAGTTTTGGCGTAAGGTACAGCTGTAGGAGTTGTAGTTTTTGTGTAGAGGTATAGCTGTAGGAGTTATAGTTTTGGTGTAGAGGTATAGCTGTAGGAGTTATAGTTTTGGTGTAGAGGTATAGCTGTAGGAGTTATAGTTTTGGTGTAGAGGTATAGCTGTAGGAGTTATAGTTTTGGTGTAGAGGTATAGCTGTAGGAGTTTTAGTTTTGGTATAGAGGTATAGCTGTAGGAGTTATAGTTTTGGTGTAGAGGTATAGCTGTAGGAGTTATAGTTTTGAAGTAGAGGTATAGCTGTTGGAAAATAATTAAACTCGCCATTGTGTTCCAAGCAAGTACGGTGAATTGGGGCATTTACCCTCAAAAATTGATCAGTATGCACAAATTTTAATGTCAAATTCCTTGATCCACATCACTGGCTTAGCGACGTAGATAAAGTTCACAGAAAGTGAACATACACCAACACCATGAGAGATGAACCTCACAGACGATTTTATGTTAGGATAGTTGTTTATGAAATTGATTCGACGATGTACTTATGTTATAGAATTGACGTAAAACCTCACGTGACTTACATCAAACAAAGTCTCGGTCATACGAATCCGGTAAGTACAGGAAATTTTAACTCGCTTTTGAATTTTTCAACCCTCTGCATTAATTTTCAATCATTTTTAAGTCGCTCTTTATTGACTATTTTCTTATCATATTGGTATCATTATTAATCTTTTGCCATAAATATAATCTAGGCCGTACGGTCCGCTGCGATATCAACACTGGGCGTTATGTTTATGTACACTGGACCCAGTCTGCGCATGTTCTTCGAGAGCGAGAAGGCGACATTGCTGCAACAGATTGACGCTGAGTTTGAAAAGGTGTGTCTCGATTGCCTATTAAACCTGGTTTTGCGCATTTGATATACACGATAAGTTTTTTTAAAATAGGCATGTTTCGACATCTCATGATGCCATCTTCAGTATAAGTGAAATAATAAATAATACAAGGTTTATATAAAAGTAATATGAAAGTAATATAAACATAAGTAGTATAAGTTTATATGCGCAATAGCAATAGTTCTTCTACGAAATTATGGAAACCTGGTTTTATGATATTGCGTCATATAAGATGAGGTCAAATTGATTGTTTTGCTTAATTTTCATGGAAACTTAATGCATTGTGATCAGTGGCGGAGTGAATGAATGTTCACCTCATGTTACACGTTTGGAAATTACACGGCAGTTAACAAGCATGTAAAATCAATATGTGAAACATTTTATAGCTTATTAGCATTGAAAAGGCCGTGTTTTATTAAGTTTGCACTATCCTTGGAAGTTATAAACCCTTAAAAACAATATTTGTTTTATTGATGAGCGGATAAAGGAAAGAAGTGGAATTTAAAGTGAATAATTTGAAACCCGGGAGTACCGTTATATATTTGTAGATGTATATCGTCAACGTTAGTATAGTCCTGAGAAGGACTGTTGGTGTTGATGTTGACTGACGTTTCGACAACCTTAGCGTTAGTCATCTTGACTCTGAAGGACTCTACTAACCTTGGAGATCTACATCCACAAACATTTGAAGTAGAATTTATTACATTGTCAGTGGACACCAGCTCTCAAACATTGCTTTGAGTACGAACGAATTAAATTGTTTCAAAAACTTTAAAAAACTGAGCTTGAAGAGCATTGCTTCTTGCCGTATCGTCTGCGGCGTTTTTAAAATGAAATCAATCGTCTGTTTTTTTTAAATTCCCAAGGTAAAAGATGAGAAACCTCCAGCTCCAACGCGAGGTGCTGCTGCTAAAACAACTACCGCTGGACAGGACGACGATGAGTCTGGAACGGCTAATGATGACGATGACGCTGAAGCTCCCGTTGCAAACTTAGCTGATCTTATACCACGCACAGATATAAGGTATCGTGATTTTATCTTTTGTTTGGTACGCATTCGTCCTCAAAGTTGTTTGTATAGGCAAGTTTTGTTCTTATAATTCTTATGATTCTTTAAAATTTTTGTTTTTACGCTACACCGATGTCTCCATGTTAGAGAACGACCTGATATCATCGGTTATCGTCGTTGTCGTCGATTGTCGTCGACTATTAAGTCCGGGGTCAGTTGCACGAAGTCCATGTTGCTGTGTCAACAGGCCAGCGACTTTAAGAGTATCAAATGAAGGGAGAATACTATCGCAACTCAAATGAAACTATCTTAACTTTCGATTTAAGCGGGTTTTCTCTGTTAACATCCAGTTTAAATCGTTACTTTTTACGTTTGAAAAGGTTTTCCAAACAATCGAATGAAATACCTAAGATTGCCTTATTCACGACATTCAATTGACCAATAACAAATTATATTCGAGCTTTTACTCAAATATAGTGGATAATGAAAGTGTGCTGAACATAAAGTAGATATGAGTAGTAGTTGTCTGACGTAACGTGATCGTTGCGTCAGACTACTTGTAGTTTGTAGCAATGTGACATTGTGCTCAATGCTGGATAATATTTCAGTGCTCAGATCAAACCCGAGATGATTAACGAATTAAGTGACAAAAAATGGCAGACGAGAGGAGAAGCTTTGCAACAGGTGCGAACAACAGTTGTGGCAAACAATAAGTTTCTATAAAGAACGATGTTAATGTGCGAAAACTTAGGTGGCAACTGTAAAACTTGTGGGATAGCTTCTGGCCGTAATACAAAATTTTTATTAACTACTTTAAAATGAGACTTAACATAACCCATGTTTGTATTATTGCCAAAGGCTTTCTACTATTGGAGGTGTCGTGATGGTGTTTGGCTGTCAGTGTACATAAACTTTTGAGTTGGTGTTTGTAAACAAACACTCTACCGTCTAAAAATACAGTAATTGTAGTACAATTCCTGTAAAAAATGCACAAAAAGCATTTTTTTCATTAAATCAACATGCAAACAAAACATGTGCTTTCCTATCAATTAGAAATTGAACACATTAAGTGATAATTTGCCTCAAGAAAAATGCATGGTCATCTGTTTCATGTTTACATTTGGACGCCATTTTAATTTTGTATGCTTCCACTTCATGATAAATGAAATTGAATGGCAAACAATTCGAATGCCTTTGCACCAATGTACCTCTTTACTATTGAACAACTAATATACTTTTTTCATTTGTAAAATGTAGATCATATTATTTAATATAATTGCGAAAAAATATGTTAATTTAAGATGAAACAAACATTTTTTTCTATGTCTATTATACGAAGTACCAGCCGAAGTACCCTTCTCTAACACCGTTTCTATTTTCAAGGTTTCCAACATCTTGAATGAAGCCAAATTCATCACTCCAAACATTGGCGACCTGCCTGGAGCTTTGAAATCTCGTTTGTCTGATTCGAATAAAAATTTAGTAAGTTTCAAAACTGACTAGACATTAAAAACAACGAAGCCATAATCACCGTATAATAACACAGAAGGTCACTCCAGTGTGCACCGCGTCCTCACGGCCGCCATTATTCCAACTTGATTCCATCTACTGAAATAACAAGATGTCGTTTGTTCGAAATTAAATCGAAAATATTGTAATATAAGAAATGACGTCAGGTCATTTTAGGGGTTGGGAACAAGTAAAAAATCCTAAATATCTTGCTCGAGTAATGGCAGCCGAAAGCGCCGCGCAGCATGCGCGAGGACAAATTCATCAAAGGTTCCGACACGAGTGGCCTTTCTTTATATTCCATGATCTTTGCCATAATTCTATTTCATGTGTTATCATTGTAAAGGTTATAACAACATTAAATATCATATCATCTCTCGTGAAAGCAATGGGTCCAGGATCTGTGAAACATGTAAAATCATTAGTTCCTGCTGTTATTTCGACACTTGGTGATAGCAAGGTATAAACTCTTTCCATTGATGCATTTTATAGTCGATGCATGTTTACCATTTCAATCATCTACGGTTTTATCAGAGTACATTGCCCAGCGGTTTTCCGTTGCTTGTTGCCACCAATACTTGGTGATATATAGGAATACATAAACAGCTCGTTATAAATGTAAAATTACATACACGGCAACGCTGTTTATAAATTTTTCAACAAAATTTAAGGACATTGAGTATTACCGTTATAGTGATCAGATTTTTTGAGTTGAAAATTGTGATGTATTTTTGGTTCTATTTGACTATGACCTCCCATTTTGTTGCACCGTCATTTTCACTGACGCAATAATCTCTGTATCATATTATTCATAATCAGGACAAGCAGATAATTTTAATTAAAACAAAATTAAACAAATTCCGAAAACAGACATCTCATTTTCTTCATATTCAAGATGATACAAGAGTTTTAGACAACAGATTGTCTAATATTTCGTCTATTCCAATGACATCATCAGACTAATAGTTTACAATGCAGGCTGCGAAACTTTTATATATAATTATTTACGAGCGGAAGTGACAGTTACGTAATTAGAGAACTACAAGACTCAACAATTAGGGTCTTCTAGGGAATAAAGGCAAAATATTACACCATTTTTTGTTTAAAACTCTTGTATCATCTTGAATTTCAAGAAAACGAGATGTCTGTTTTCGGAATTCGTTTTTCGTGTAATAAAAATTGATGCCAAGTTTTAATTAGAGCTATAATGTTGGGCATTAATTTTTATTACACGAATTCGATTTCCGCTCGGCAAGTCTCTCGCTACTATTTTAAGGAATTCGTTTTATTTTGTTTCATATAGTTAGTATTACGTAGTTGCTTCTAATGTCGTCCACGTCATGGTTTGATCACATGACTCAAGCAAATCCGATATTTCACAACTCCTATGTAAATATTTTTGTATGTGTGTATTTCTCGAAAGCAAAAGATAGGAGCCGATTACATGGAGCAATTTCAGCCCGGGCTTAATTTCATCCTGGTTGGTTGGCCGGGCTGAAATTTTGTGTGATTATATGCTCGATTTCAGCTCCGTTTTTAGATCGGGCGGAAATTTACAAAGCTCGTCCGAAGCATGAACCCCAGATGTCATTTTAAAACCGCAATTACGCATGCGTGAATATTTTCAGCCCGGCCAACCGGGTTCAAACTCAGTCCGGGCTGAAATTGCTCCATGTAATCGGCCCCAAAAAATGAAATTTCCAGTGAAAATACTATATTCACTTTTCATACTTTATAAGTATTTTTAGTATTTTTTAATTTAAGTATTTTGAGAATTTCCTCTCCGTTATAGGTGCATATAGATACGTACATGATATTATGTTGCTCTACTATAATTTTAGCCGCAAGTTCGTGCTGCCGCCATTGCCTGCATGAACTCGTGGTTTGAGGAAATCGGATTGGCTCCTCTTGTCGAATCAGAAGTAATCAGCGGAGCTCTTGCGACAGACAATCCAAACATGAGGGCAGAGGTATGTTTTATTTGAATAAACGCCTATCATAGAGGTCCAAAAATGAAAATTTAAAAACTCGTTAGCTTTGTCTGATAAATATCGCTTACATAAAACATCAAGTATGTTGTTTTGTTTCATTCTACACCATTTATATTGAATACAAGATTTTTGAATATTTCGATGGAGAATAATTATAAAAATAACGCATGTTTCTGGTTATCATTGCGGTTCTTGTGATGTGATAATTGATTAGTTAACGCATCTACTAATATTTTTTAATCTCGTTGCGATTCCGATCTGGGCAATTTGCTTATCTTATCGATAGTAGTGTATAGAATGTATTTTCCCGTCATTTCAAGTTCATAATGCTGCGAAACATGAAAATTTAAACAACTTTTCATGAAACATTCCATATTTTATGACATGGCTATCACTGTTAAGGTAGTATGTGGGTGATTATGTCATCGTCAAGATCCGAGATTTTAACCAATGGGATTTGTATATTATTCCTGACCTTTAGGCGTATTTTCAATTTTATATACTTCGAAGGTTGCTAACATGTCAATAGAAACTTCATGTTAGATACTTTTTTGTTAGATGTTTGGTTGGCTCGAAGAGAAGTTACCTACGCAAAAGAAACTTCCAGCTGAAGTGAATTTGATCATTCCTATTTTGTACGCATGCTTGGAAAGTCGCAATGCTGACGTCAGAAAGAAAGCTCAAGGCGCATTGCCGGCTTTCATGAACATCGTCGGTTGGGACACGATGATGAAACAAACTGGCAAGCTTAAGGTATTAACCAGGTTTAGGTATGCTTACACGGCGTGACGCATTGAATCATGGGAATGTGGCGGGAATGTAAACACGGGCAACTGACGTTAACGTTAAAATGATAACAGTAGCGTAGCCAGCCCGACTTTTTACTCCAGCTGTACCGTGCTGTGTTCACTGACCGTAAGAACAAACCATTTCTAAAGAAATGAATTATGGTACAGTATCTTTAAGAATTTGCGCAGTGGAGTGAATTTGCAGTCTGGCTTCCATACGGAATGATGAGACTTGAAATAAACAATATCTTGCGTAGTATTTAAATTGCGTTCCACCATAAGCATTTCTGATAAAGTGCTATTTGTACTCATTACTGTTAGGGTATTTTTGATGTTCGTGTTTAACTTTACAACTGCTTCTGCCATATCTTGTTAAAGTGCACGAGTTCTCTAATTATCGACGTTTTGATTTGACGGATGTGAAGCAACTTTTTATTTGCTAAATTATTCATAAGCCTTTGTCACAATTTCAAACACTTGCGTTTTATTCGTGATTCGTTTCAGCCTGCGTCCAAATCAACGGTCATGGCAATTTTGGAAAAAAATCGTCCTCAAGTGACTTCAAAAGTTCAAATAATGCTGTTGCCGATAAATCTGCCACCCACAGCAAGCCAACGGAAAACCAAAAAGAAGGAAAAAGAACAACAAGAGAAAGCAGTTTCGGCAAGAAAGCCCGACGAAGGAGTTAAAAAATCTAAAACGAGTACTTCAAAAACTGCAGTGGCGAAGGTAGCGTTTTTAACGATATCATAAATTTGTTGTGGTTTGAGTTACGATATGTTTTTTTCAGTCGTAAAATGAATTTAATGCAAACTTTTTTGGAATATAGCTATCAGACATAACGTACTGTAAAAGGTTTGGTAGTTTAGCGCATGCGCGTAAACGCAAGGACATACATAGAAACGTCAAATGGTGTTGTTCATAACACAGCAGTAACCGTAATTCCTGAAAATTCTATTTTCGCACGTGCATAATGCATGGTCAACTACTCGCTATTTTCCATTTATCAAAATCAAAAACGGGCGATGATTTACTATGTTTTCACATATGATATCCCAATATGATTAGAATAATCCATTTTTCGCCGATGATGCCAGATGACTAATTTGCATACATTAAAGTGTTTATCTATCTTCAACTGCGTCTGTTCAGTTGTGTCCAGGCTTTCTGGTCTGTTTTGTGTTATGAATAGTCACGTGGTAGTCGTTTTCCTTACCTATAGTCTACTGGAAGTAAATCAAATGACTCTGATGACGATGGTCCCGTGTTGATGGCGAATCCAAATGGACGGGATAGCAGAATAAAGGCCGAAAAAGAACTTAAAGTGAGTGTACAACTGTTTTTGTGCCTCATTGTTGCCAGTGCACCTGAAGTAGAAATACTGAGATCTTAAAATGATCCTGTAAACAGTTTATGCCATTGTCGAAGAAAAGGGAGAAAAGTTTCATGATTTTTAGTCAATCTTCGTTACTTAAATATGACATAACCTCAATATTGTTAGTATTTAGTAATAGCATGTTTTCGAGTGCAACTTGGGAAAAACATGCACTATCAAGTTTTTCAAAGACCATCAAAATTACTTTGTCTGAAAGACGAAATTGCACGAGGAACTATGCTGTTACTTATTAATAATATACGTGAAAAATTTCTCAATTCTGTTCAATTTTAACATCAGCTATACGTACATTTCATCTGGCAAGTTATTAACATCGACCAGCTCGTATTTTTCCATTCCGTCTAATATATTTTTCACAACACCATAGCTTTTACACGTGCTGCCAAAAAAGGGTATCTACTTTTAACAGTGTCGTGTACTTTTGGCCGGAATGTCAACTGTGGACTCAGTCGCCAAAGAAAATCTACTTAAAACTTACGCCAGCCATTTTAATTGCTTTCGTTATTCAACATTATAATTTAACTTTCCCGCCTTTATAATGTTTTATTTTGATTGATTTTTATGATTACTTCTTTGTTTTACTAACCTATCAGGAGCACTTTTAAAAGGAATTTGCACTTGTATTTTCCAATTTTTGCACTGGTAAAAATTAGATTGTGTTGTATTCATCCAATAATATTTTAAAAATCATTTCACCGTGCAAATGACTATCATTGTTTTTGGTATTCTTTAATTTGATTGGTCCGTTTTGTTTCGTCACCAGGTTCTCAAATGGAATTTTGCTGCGCCACAAAGTGAGCATATTGAGCAACTCAAAGATCAAATGAGCAATTGTGTTGGCAAGGCGATGTTGGAGAATCTCTTTCACAAAGACTTCAAGTATCACGTCATCGCACTGACCGCATTGCTTAAGGTAAGTGGAGTGTTTTTAAGGCATGGATTGAGTCATTTTTGCTAATATGGTCCATTTGCCTTCTGACATAGTAAAATTCCATGGGGGAACTCAAATTAATATTCAAACTGGGATAAATGATTTCACGTTATATTACGACAGCGAGTTTGTCTATTTGTCAAAAAAAATAAACTGACTTAATAAATGTTTTCTTTAGCCCTTTACTCACCCGCTTGTATTCGTTAAATTATCAGCTGGCTATTCAAATAAACGTGTTTACAATAATAGGCAATAACTCCTGTATCGGATCCACCGATGAAGACAGAAACTCTTCAAAGTACAGATTTATTATTGAAATGGTGTTCGTTAAGATTCTTCGATACCAACACGACTGTTCTCATTAAGTGTCTGGAGTATCTTGAAGCTTTGTTTACAGTTTTGGCCAATGAAGAATTTAAAATGAACGAGTATGACGCTGCCAGCTTTTTGCCTTATTTAATTCAAAAGGTAAGAAAGATTATATTGTTTTGAAAAAAAGGACTTGATGAGCGCATTTTCGTCATTTATTCACTAAACTGGAACGTTAATTATATGCACTCAAGTAGTGGCGTATAATTAATTATATATTTATAATTATATACTTCAAGTAGAACTGTTTTGAAGCATGCCTTATTTGGTCGAACGTTAATTGTATGCACTCAAGTAGTGGCGTATAATTAATTATATATGTATAATTATATACTTCAAGTAGAACTCATTGAGTTCTATAATAACTGGAGCGGCTATCTCAAGCGCGGCCTTAGATATCTGATGACGCCAAAAAAAAATGGCGGATTTCGTCCGTTGCCGCTGAGATTTACCGAAATTGATCGCTTTTCCGAAAATTTCACAATTTCCCACTCCCTCCCGAGGAAAGAGTGAGGAAAATGTATGTGTGTATTTGGGATTCGGCAAGCAATTTTTTGATGAAAATCACCATAAAAACCTACAATTCGTAACAGCGAGTCAACTGTGGTTGTCAGTTATCTGCTCCTACGAGGATGCATTTATAACTATCGACGAAAGACCTATATGTCGGCTACACATGTATGAATGCATTTGTTGTATTGATATATGAATTGGGCAAAATGCAAATAATCATCAAAACACTTATACTTCCAATGGTGTTTATAATTCATTTGTAGTTTTAATACTTCTACCCTTCTTTTTCACTTTGTTTTGTTTTTCCTATATTTGCAAATAAGTACACAATTTGAATGATTAACGCAGTTTTCGCCTCAATAATAAATTTCATAAGCAGTTGGTAGTGCATTTTGTTCTCTGAGTATCCACATCTGGTGTTTTGTTCATACAAGAATGATGAAGTGCAAGTAGATATGTCATAGCAAGGCAATATAACCAAATGAATCAAATACCTATGGTGTACATTTATGCTAGAAGCTTAAAAGCTTTTTAGAAATTATAAAGTTATTGGATTATATTAACCATATATCATCAATCTCATGAAAAGAAATAAGAAGCAAAAATTTGTAGAAAGCTTTGAAAAGTGAAAAACTTTTCTTTTAGCAATAATGCATATGATAAATCTCCATTCTTACTACGTTAATAAGCTCAAACTGTTTCTTAAAGCAAAACTGTTATAATGAAATGTACAGTACAGTAACAAAGTTTCATCACTGAATCTTTAATGCTTCAGTGTAGTGCATTAGATATTAGTAACATTTATACAACACTCAACTAAAATATTTTGATAAAGATATGACATGATTTAAACATTAAGTTATATAAAACCCAATGGCTTATACAGTTTGATGCTTCACATCTGCATCAAGTCATCAATCTCAGTACAAATGTTTACATAGACACAAACTTTATGGCTTTCCCATTTTATACCTTTGTGAATTGACAATTCATTAAGCATCAAAACACACACAACCTTTCCATCTTTCTTTGGTTCATGAACTTTAACTTCAAAGCATTCAAGGCATCCTTAGTGAATCCATTGTCTCCATCCATAGAATTTGACCATGATCAAATTAAATAACTCTGGATAGGGCAGACAATAAATCAATTATCTTTACAGCATTATCATTTTTTTAAGACTCTGCCTGGTCAATAACATCTTCCAGTCATCATTACTCCTTGGTCTTCCCTGCATGTTGTCAGCAAATAGAACATAACAAGCTCTGCTTTAAATCATGGGTACTCTTGGGGCTGATCATTTCGTTTTGATATTTACTCACAGAGCAAAATGTGTGCAGGGTCTTTTTTGATTTACGGAAACTATTTTGCAAATAGATGGGTAAATTTACGACTTCATGCATTAACAAATGACAGAAAAGTATGCAGAATTTTATCAACAAAAACAGGAAAACATCAGTATATTTGGCGTTCAAGTCAGTCTTAAAAATACGATCTTTAATATGTATTTTGTGGCAAGTGCATGTATAATTGCTTTTCAGTTTTCAATCGTTGACGGACTAAAAACCAAGCAACTATCTCACCTGTGAAGCGATATGTTCCTTTTGTGGAAACTACGACATCCAACAATTGAACGATTGAAGTGTTGGCATTATGAAATGCCAAAAGATATCGTCACAGAATATGGAACTAACGATATCCATATTCTGTGATATCGTGTTTGTTTTGAAAAATCTTTATAATTTACTATAGACACCAGGGGAGGTCGAGAATATTATTTTTCTGCAAAGCGATCATTTCAGCGGAAATACGTCCGTTGGCCGCCATTTTTTTGGCGACCTCGCCCCAGTAAAGTTAGCCGCTCCAGTTATTATAGAACTCAATGGTAGAACTGTTTTGAAGCATGCCTTATTTGGTGGAACGTCAATTATATGCACTCAAGTAGTGGCGTATAATTAATTATATATTTATTATTATATACTTCAAGTAGAACTGTTTTGAAGCATGCCTTATTTGATGGGAAGATTATTTTTGGCACTTTCTACTAATTTATTTTGTTATCTTGTTTGAACTCACAAAAGCTACCATCATTTTCCTCTTAAAAAATTCTGTGGAAGTTAGGTTTGCGGTTGATTAATGCCGCTCTGTAATTTTGTTGACCAATTTAACTTGCATGCGAAGAAAATCGTTGAATTCAATTTGTACGTGATCAGGATATACTTTCTTTCAGCAGCAAAGTTATCGAACCTTCTGTTTGATAATCTCTCACTTTTTATAAGATTCAAGTCAATAATAAAGAAGCTCTTGAGAGATTGCCTTTTATTTGGCATAATACAGCCAATCCAATCAAATTCGGTCTTGCTTGATAATTTTGATCCGTTTCCATAGTTGCACAGTTGATTTGTCAAGAGCAAATTTACATATCTAAAATATTGGATAAAATTGTCCCATTTTTTAGTTTCAATGTGATTTCATTTGTAATCAACAGATAGGTGATCCAAAGGATGCCGTACGGAAGATGATCCGTGGCCTGCTGAAATGGGTGACAAAAATCTACCCGGCCAGTAAATTATTTAACTTCCTGGCGGATGGACTCAAGTCGAAGAACGCTAAAACACGCACGGAATGTTTAGGAGAGATTGCTTACTTAATTAGCGTATACGGTGAGAACGTGTGTCAGCCAAGTCCCGCGAAAGCGCTTCCCGCCATTGCTGCACAGATCGCTGACCGAGATAACAGCGTAAGGAATGCTGCACTCAATGCCATCGTCGAGGTTTACAATCTAGTTGGTGAAACAGTCTATAAATATATTGGAAGGGTGAGTGTAGTAATCATATATACAACACGATTGTCTTTCAACAGTTGGTTTGAAGTATACTGCCAATCACAGTTCTCTTTTCATTCCATCGAGATCATGATGCGGTATGTGCTGTTGATTACATACGTTCAATTTCCACGTCCTGTTACATCTTAATTATTCTTTTTGATATATGCGAACAGATATCTTTCCAGCAAATGATTAGTAAAAATCAGGGATCATCATCATATCTTTGTGGCTTCAAGAAAATTTAGTAATGCATAATTGTCGACAGTAAAATTTTCCCTCTTGCACAATAGAGGATTTATAGGGTCACATTTACTCCATAAAGTTTTTGAATTCGCTGTCACGTCTGTTTTGTACTGTGTTTTATAAACTTGAAGAACTAAGGTTTACGTTCTTCACATTGTGAGATTGAACGTTGATATTTTGATGTTCTGGTCTTTATGCAATTGTTATCGTAAAGCACGTTCGCAAACTATGTTTTATTAATCTTGTAACCTCTTTGAAAACTGTATTTTAAGTCGTCGCTTTGCTTTCCATCAATATTTCTCGTATGTAGTGCGCTTATAGGCTTTTTTCCAGAGGATTTTACCTATAAAATGAAAATGGTATTAAAAGAAAACTTATAAAACGGGGTGTTATGTTCTCCGTTCTAGATATCTGAGAAAGATCAAAGTTTGTTGGACGAGCGCATTCGTCGAGCGGGTAAATCCAAAACTGCTCTGACTGAACCGGCTAAAGCAACCAGTCAGTCAACAAAGAAAGCCAGTGAAACTGTCGCTACTGTTGAGAGACCATCAAAACCAGCTAATACAACTCAAAGCAAGTATGTAGTCCTGTCTTCCTAAAACTTAGCAAAGATATATGTTTCATTTGTTTGACCTCAAGTGACATGTTTGCAAGGGTTTAATCGAAATTATTTATTTTATTGTGAGTTATACCATAATGCAATGCGTGGCGCGATCTTTGTGATTGCAACCCAGAGTTTCTCATTAATAATTTTCTTTGAGATATTTTCATTTGATTTGGTTTCAAGTAAGATTAGCTCACTTGATGAGAGCTCAGTGTTTTCTTTGTTGATTAAAGTAGCTGTGTTACATTATGCAAATAATTAAAATTCGGTTTCGGTAGGGGGACTGGGTTGGACCTAGAATTCCCGAGGGTTAGGTATTACGTTAATCAAGCCCAGGTTTCGGTACTGCAACTGAATTTGTTTTAGTTCATTATTATTTCTATCTTATTTTGTGGTGGTGAAAAAAAAAATAGGTTGAACTTCGTTATTGTTTTGGTGGTGAAGCTCGTTCTAGCTTGAGGGTAATGTGTGGTTGCAAATAGGTTAAACTTCATTATTGTTGTGACGACATCTTTTTAGAGTATTTTCTTGTTTTAACATCTTGTGCTTCTTCAGTCCTTTTTTTTTGCATATGCATGAATTTAGAATAGAATAGGAATTTCCATTCAAACTCTGTTTGTTAAAAGTTATTTTAAACTCAGATTACTATAGTGCGCTAGCCTCATATCAAACAAGATGATGTTGGCTATTTTCAAACATCATTGTGTTTTTATGTGGTCTGTTATCGTGGATATAAAATCTTTTGAACATCGAAATGAATGATATTAGGTTGTTCTGTATAGTCAGAAACCTTCGAATTATTTCCATTAATGTTAGATCGACTTCAGCAAAAGTTGAGCCTGCTGTCCAACAGTACTTTTCATTGGATTTCGATCAAATCGAGACGAGATCAGGAAAATCAAGCAATGCGTTACCATCCTTAGTGACCAATGACGACGTAAACGATTTGTTAAATGAACCCGTACCTTCATTGCCTAGAATAACGAGGTAAGGGGGGAAATTTTTTGTGTTTGAAGTTCGTTTTGTACGTGAAGATAATCTTTCCAGCGGACCTTGTGTCAGGTAAAGACAGGCAGACTAGACCCATGGAATAGTCTTACACCCTGACACGCATGTGTTGTGTTTCCAGATTCTCTCGCGAGATAACAATTGATTGAAGTCGTGCATTTTTTTGCCGAGAAAATCACTGATAAAGAATCGGTGTTTATTTCAAAAAAATATGAAAAGAGATATTTTCTTTCGCTCCTCTTTCCATATTTGTGTTTACAGTTGATCATATTGACCGGAAAAACCAATTGTTTTCTTTTTTGCACTTACGTCACTACCGGTACACCTGTGTATCAGTCAGTCTTACTTGTTGAATATTTTTTCCGTTCAGTTTTCGCTGGTGAACGGTTTGAGTCGAGATAATCAAAGATAATCTGTTCTTTTCATGTTCCTTATACTATTCTTTTTTACTTAAATTTTCGTGTATGGATTTATAATAATGGATTTAGAGATTTCATTTATTGTAGATATAGCCACAGAAATGTAGTTATTCCAAGTAGCTATGTTTTAATATGTAAATAAAAAGTCACAGGATGTATTAATTTTATCTTTAGTACCGTCTCGTTAACGAATCCCTTCCTTTATGTACTTTCCATCTTGTATGGATTCACTTTTCTTGAACTTACTACAGGATTCAGCAAGTTCGCTTTTCTTGAACTTACTAAAGGATTCAGCGAATTCACTTTTCTTGAACTTACTACAGGATTCAGCAAATTCACTTTTCTTGAACTTACCACAGGATTCAGCAAGTTCACTTTTCTTGAACTCACTACAGGATTCAGCAAGTTCACTTTTTGAACTTACTACAGGATTCAGCAAGTTCACTTTTCTTGAACTTACTATAGGATTCAGCAAATTCACTTTTCTTGAACTTACGACAGGATTCAGCAAGTTCACTTTTCTTGAACTTACTAAAGGATTCAGCAAATTCACTTTTCTTGAACTTACTAAAGGATTCAGCAAATTCACTTTTCTTGAACTTACTAAAGGATTCAGCAAGTTCACTTTTCTTGAACTTACTAAAGGATTCAGCAAATTCACTTTTCTTGAACTTACTAAAGGATTCAGCAAATTCACTTTTCTTGAACTTACCACAGGATTCAGCAAGTTCACTTTTCTTGAACTTACTAAAGGATTCAGTAAGTTCACTTTTCTTGAACTCACTACAGGATTCAGTAAGTTCACTTTTCTTAAATACGACAGGATTTAGCAAGTTCACTTTTCTTGAATTTACTACAGGATTCAGCAAGTTCACTTTTCTTGAATTTACTACAGGATTCAGCAAGTTCACTTTTCTTGAATTTACTACAGGATTCAGTAAGTTCACTTTTCTTGAACTTACTAAAGGATTCAGCAAGTTCACTTTTCTTGAACTTACTAAAGGATTCAGCAAATTCACTTTTCTTGAACTTACTAAAGGATTCAGCAAATTCACTTTTCTTGAACTTACCACAGGATTCAGCAAGTTCACTTTTCTTGAACTTACTAAAGGATTCAGTAAGTTCACTTTTCTTGAACTTACTACAGGATTCAGTAAGTTAACTTTTCTTAAATACGACAGGATTTAGCAAGTTCACTTTTCTTGAATTTACTACAGGATTCAGTAAGTTCACTTTTCTTGAACTTACTACAGGATTCAGTAAGTTCACTTTTCTTAAATACGACAGGATTTAGCAAGTTCACTTTTCTTGAATTTACTACAGGATTCAGCAAGTTCACTTTTCTTGAATTTACTACAGGATTCAGTAAGTTCACTTTTCTTGAACTTACTACAGGATTCAGTAAGTTCACTTTTCTTAAATACGACAGGATTTAGCAAGTTCACTTTACTTGAATTTACTACAGGATTCAGCAAGTTCACTTTTCTTGAACTTACTACAGGATTCAGCAAGTTCCCTTTTCTTGAACTTACTAAAGGATTCAGCAAGTTCATTTTTCTTGAACTTACGACAGGATTTAGCAAGTTCACTTTTCTTGAATTTACTACAGGATTCAGCAAGTTCACTTTTCTTGAATTACTACAGATTCAGTAAGTTCACTTTTCTTGAACTTACTACAGGATTCAGGTTCACTTTCTTAAATACGACAGGATTTAGCAAGTTCACTTTTCTTGAATTTACTACAGGATTCAGCAAGTTCACTTTTCTTGAACTTACTACAGGATTCAGCAAGTTCCCTTTTCTTGAACTTACTAAAGGATTCAGCAAGTTCATTTTTCTTGAACTTACGACAGGATTTAGCAAGTTCACTTTTCTTGAATTTACTACAGGATTCAGCAAGTTCACTTTTCTTGAACTTACTAAAGGATTCAGCAAATTCACTTTTCTTGAACTTACGGATTCAGCAAGTTCACTTTTCTTGAACTTACGACAGGATTCAGCAAGTTCATTTTCTTGAACTTACGACAGGATTTAGCAAGTTCACTTTTCTTGAATTTACTACAGGATTCAGCAAGTTCACTTTTCTTGAACTTACTACAGGATTCAGAAAGTTCCCTTTTCTTGAACTTACTAAAGGATTCAGCAAATTCACTTTTCTTGAACTTACGACAGGATTTAGCAAGTTCACTTTTCTTGAATTTACTACAGGATTCAGCAAGTTCACTTTTCTTGAACTTACTACAGGATTCAGCAAGTTCACTTTTCTTGAACTTACTAAAGGATTCAGCAAATTCACTTTTCTTGAACTTACGACAGGATTCAGCAAGTTTCTTGAACTTACGACAGGATTTAGCAAGTTCACTTTTCTTGAATTTACTACAGGATTCAGCAAGTTCACTTTTCTTGAACTTACTACAGGATTCAGCAAGTTCCCTTTTCTTGAACTTACTAAAGGATTCAGCAAATTCACTTTTCTTGAACTTACGACAGGATTCAGCAAGTTCCCTTTTCTTGAACTTACGACAGGATTTAGCAAGTTCACTTTTCTTGAATTTACTACAGGATTCAGCAAGTTCACTTTTCTTGAACTTACTACGGGATTCAGCAAGTTCACTTTTCTTGAACTTATTACAGGATTCATCAAGTTCCCTTTTCTTGAACTTACTAAAGGATTCAGCAAATTCACTTTTCTTGAACTTACGACAGGATTCAGCAAGTTCACTTTTCTTGAACTTACGACAGGATTCAGCAAGTTCACTTTTCTTGAACTTACTAAAGGATTCAGCAAATTCACTTTTCTTGAACTTACGACAGGATTCAGCAAGTTCACTTTTCTTGAACTTACGACAGGATTCAGCAAGTTCATTTTCTTGAACTTACGACAGGATTCAGCAAGTTAACTTTTCTTGAATTTACCACAGGATTCAGCAAGTTAAAATTAATTTAAAGAATGAGTATCAGGGTCATGCTTTGCGCGCTTAGTGTTTATGTTTTCGTACGGGAACTTCCGTGCACTTAAGCAATCCGATGCGTATTCAGTAGAGGTTTTGTTTCGTTTATTGACTTATGTGATCATATTTATTTATAGGAAGCATTTATGGTTGATTGTTTGACTGTTGCTACGATATTCACGCCTTTTTTATATGCTGTACTTATGTAGTCAAATCAAACATATCATATCCGCCATTTTTGGGGTCTCTAAAAAATGGTCAACCAAGCGCGCAAAGCATGACCCTGATACTCATTCTTTAATATTTTTGTATGTTTTGTAGTTCATCGTCCAGTAGTCCAGGTCGTAAGATGTTCTCACCCAGCAGCTCTTCGGCGGCCGTTGATTATTGCGTATCTCAAATCGCGAGCAACGAAATCAAGTTGGCCATTACGGCTTTGAAAGAATTGGATGATCACTTCAAGGATAAGGGGTCAGCGGTGTGGTTAAAACATCTCAATCAGGTAGGTTTAGATCAAAAACTTGGGTCAGCGGTTTGATTGAAACCTTTCAATCATATTCTTAGCCCAATAAGGATATAAAGAAGAGTCCTCATGTCGAAATATTTGATGTTTTGTCCTCGCACATGGTGGCCGCCATTATTCCAGCAAGATGATTAAAGTTTTTGACTGTTGTCAAACCTTTAAAATGATGATTTTAAAGAACCAAGAGCATATTGCCTTGGATAGAAAAAATTTCACAGTTATTCGTACATCATATCAGCATTAAATTGTTAAAATCCCAGATAAGCTGTAATTTAGATTGCTCAAATCTAATCAGATGGGGGTTATAATTGGATCAATGATTAACTGTAAATTAGATTACTCTTTTGTATTTTTGCAAATTACATCCACGTTACATTAACTCAATGCTCTTGTATCCATCCGAACTGGGAATTCGATTCGTGACGTGTCCTGCACGAAGTTCTTGGAACCAATCAAATCGTTTCATTCGTGAGTGTCACTAATGATACATAAAATGAAACACGATTGACGCATGTGATATTGCATTGCCACGAACTTTCGTTGTGCCATTTGGCAACTATAACAATATGCAAACATAACCAAACACTGTTCTCAAGTAGCCCGAGTGAACGCCTTGTTCATCATTTATTTGATTTTCTTGCAGCTCTGTTGAGGACACTAGGAAAGAGTTCAAGGAGGGCTCTAGCCCCCCCCCTCTCCTCCTTCTATAATTTTGATAGATTAAAAATATTGTGCCAAGTCTCTCAAATCACACCTAATATTGAATAATAGCTATTTCAAACACTTCAGTACTGTAGACGTACCAGCACACGCATTAGACCTTCTTGGGTGTGTAGGATTATGTGTACGTAGCAATTCTTAAATTAGATTTCTGGAGATCGAATTTTAAAAGTGGAGCAATAGGTATGCTCTGGAATCTCCTTAGAAATCTCATGCCTTGAGGACGAGGCGCCTATTATTTCATAAGTGTTATCCGCTGATGCAGCTCGATTGCCGGCGTGCGTTTGCAGTAAGAGCTGCCCTCCATATGGTGACATCGTTTGAAGTCAGCAATTGCTTGAATTATTTCATGTTTTTTTTTAGTTCCTCATTGCTTGTATTCTTCAACAACGCATGATTCTATCTACTCACCTGTTATCGGATTCTCATCAAGAAGAAGACATAATAAACCTGTACAAAGCCATTTTTAGCTCCTACTTCACGCTGTTCGCCGATTCAACGCTTGCTCGGGCGATACCGAAAGAGATTCTGAAGGATCTTATTCACGTGATGATAACGACTTTGCTGGATCAGAACTTAATAAAGCTTTACGAAGGTCCCCAGGTCATCCGATGCGTGAATAAACTGATGCTTAACATTACCGAGAAACCAAATAGAAATTATATACTGGGGTAGGTTAAATTATCGCAAGGTCGTTACTAGGCAAGTGAGCAAGCAGTACACTACAGAGCGAGGCTGAACATACCATTCGAAGCTCGCTATTTATGATGATTATGTGCCTTCAAAACGCTTAATGCTTGCATTGTTAGATGTTGGGATGAGTTATTTTTGATAGGGCGGTTTCGTATTCGAACTTGACATCATGTTTGATGAAAACGTTGGTTTTGTGGGCCTACCAACCGTCTTTAGCGGAACATTGCAAAACTTTTTTTATTAATTTTTTTTTCGGTTTTAAACCCTTCTTTTTGTACAAAAGGAAACATACATCGATTGTTTCAACAAACTGAATGTAATGCCTTTCTTGAATTCAATATTCGAGATAATGTAGAGTGAAATTTGTAATTTATTTATTATTTTTACTTAAACAAAAAAGACTGTTTTGCTCGTCGAAGTTGAATCAAAACGAGTGATGTAGAAAAAGTATCTCAATTCCAAAGACTTCACCTGTTATTCAGAATTTGTTTTTGTCTTTTAGCTCCTTGATCAAATTGCTTCAAGACAGCGTTACGCATTATTCTAGCGCTCCGCAGTTCGTTGATCTCATAATGAAGGTTAGTCATTGCCATGTAACTCCATTGTACGGCATTGGCCATGTCATGGAGAAATATTTGTGTTGTCCAGTTAACACAGACTTACGTCATTGTACTTCATGCATGTACAATATACTCTAAGGGCACTCATTTTTCATTGTACATCAACCTATAAGCTCTTTTAGTTCACTCATATATACTACTTGTTTTCTTTACTGCTTGTGTCGGCAAACCTATGCTTGCAACTTGAACATGCAATTATTTGGTCAGCGTTCGCCACTAGTAAGCGCACATGCCACGAGTAGCATCTGTAGTGTGAAACAGTGTGAATGAAGAACTAGAGTGTTCTGAAACATTTCTATGTTTTAGTGTCTATGGCGTGTAACGCGAAAACTACCTGTTACTATACAAGATCTTGATTTAAGTCAAGCTTTACTAGACATTCATCTATTCGTTGAAGCACACCCTACTTCAACGTGGAAGCATCGTCCTGACGATACTCCATTGAAAACTATCAAAACCCTTCTGCATTCTTTGGTTCGAATAAAGGACAAGCAGGTATGTGACATCATTCTACGTTTTTTGGTTTAGAAAGTGAATTTTTTCCATACCGTTTTTCACTTACGTCATGTGTAACTGAACATAGTAGGATGTGTACGTTATATGTACGTGATATGAACGTGATATGTAAGTGATATGTACGTGATATGTACGTGATAACGATTTTATTTTGCCTTTGTACACCCGCATCTTCAGCGTAATTTTGATTGATAGCCCTTCTGTAACAACAATAGCATGACGTCATACCATTTCTTAAATCCTATTTTTTCTCGATTGTTTATGATTATGTATTATTTCAAATATTCAATATAGTTAACAATTGTCAACATGCATTTTTTCATTACTATAGCATTTCTCTAAGAAAGACCACCTACTGAAGCAATAACAATTTTATATAGGGGCTACATGTTTTCTCTACCCCCTCTATGTTTTTTGATCATACAAAGTACAAAGAGTAAAAGGCGATGAAGCTCTTAGTTCAGTTCACGGAAAGGCTTAATATTGTTTGTCCAATGATAGTTTTCGTTATTTTGCTTAGTATGAATTATGTAAGACGTTGAATTTTGATTTTGGTAATGAATTTTGTTCAGTTTCATCCATTGATTGCCGTTTTTGTTTCTTAGTTTGTAAAAATGCGGATACCGAAAATTTTCAGGACTAGCTGGTCCTGCAGTCCTATAGCTAAAATAATACTTTATAAGTGACGTAATTTTATCGTTTAGATTTTAGATCATATAAATTTGATAGAGAATTCGGAGCAAAGTGAGATTGTCCTGTACATACGTGCGACGTTAAAATCCAGTCCACCCAAACAACAGGTCAAGAAACAGACGTCAGTACAAGATGAAAAATCGTCACGTGAACTCACGCCGCAAACGGTAAGTGAAATTTGGCGCCATCCTTGGTTAGAATTTAAAAATGTGCGTCAAACAAGATGCATCGCGCGCTTTTGTTTATATTTACGTCGCTACTTTTGAGCTTGCTGCATACAAAATTCAATTTCGTCACTACGACTTCAAATTTAGCTATCTGAAAAGTTAGCAAAAACATAGATTAATTTATGTGACAGTGCTGTTGAATAATTCCATAATTTATAAGAAATGTGAGCAAAAAATAAAACATTAATTAGAAACTCTATTTTACATTAATTATCATCGTTTGTCTAAGTTGCATGTACAACTATAACATAATCCGCCATTTTGTCGACCCACAAAATCACCGTCACGCTGTTGTGAACGCGCAATGCATCTTGGTTGATACACATTCTTTACGTGTCATGTCGACGTTAGGTCATGTATAGTTTACGTCTTTCTTCTTGTTGAACTTATTTAAAAAGCAAATAATTAGTGTTTAGTGCTGGTGTCTGATTTACCAATGATGTTACTTGAGTAGATTTTCACTGAATATTAATGAATATTTAGCCTCCAGCCTCGTTTCATTTAGACCCGATTTTCATCCAACCATCCCACCTAAAGTTTAACCACATTTTTGAGCTCTCGTCTGCTTGCTAGTTAAGTTTAGAAAGCTCTCTGAAAGAATTTGAATGGCGTTTACTTCACTTATTAAATATAAAAATTCTATATGCTGTCTATACAGCTCAATTGTTTGTGAAGTAGCTAATCTTACTACTCTAAATCGAGCGATTTTTGAATAAAGAGCGCAGTTTTTATCATTTTTACATGTTGCTATAGTTTTATTCATTTTGTATGTTTTTCTTCTTAAAAGCCAATAACTCCGAAGATGAAAACACGCAAGCTTAGTCAGGATATACACGACTCTCTTGGTGATATTTTTAAGAAGATTGGGACCAAGGAGACTACGAAAGAGGTACTATAGGATGCGCCTAGTTTTTATAAATGAAATAACACATAATTTTGTTGCGAACTCTTTATATATACTAAATCCTTTTTAATCGAGCACGAGGTCTTTAAAGAAAATATCAGACCAATTTTTTATATTGAAGTCTGGTATTTCTCTGTGTTCTAACAATCTTTAAGTAAAAATTTAAGTACCTGGACAATATCATCGGGCGGACTTCTCCACTGATTATATACTGGTCATTCTTATAATGTACTTGAGACCTGTCGGTTGTTGATTTTTTTAAATGAAGAAGTTTTGATTCTTATAGGGTCTCGTGGCTCTTTACAATTTTCGACTAAAGCATAGAGATGTGGACATAGAGCCTTTTCTCGAGCAGACGTCGGATTTCTTTCAAAAATATATCGCTCGAGGTCTAAAAACTATCGAAGACGAACGCAAGATTGATAACACAGGTAAACTATTCTCCCATGAAAAAATATTTCACCCACAAACAAACGAATTATGCGATAGCCGGGATATAAGTTAATTTTCTTTCGCTAAAAATGAAAAGTTCGTTGTAACTTTTACTTTGACATATGACTCGAAAATTGTCCTATTCAGACTACATTTTCAATTAACATAACTTTTAAAAGTACAGTGTATCTTTTAAAGACAGTTTTTCATATCACTTTTCAATGTCAAGTTATTGTACTTTATGTAATGTATGCTTTACACAACTTGTGACGTTGCATTACATTAAGAGAATTTGAAATTGCGTGTATATTTGCTTATATGTTACTTCAGCCAAGCAGAGTTTCCTTTATTGTGAAGAATTAATGGTGCAAACAATTGTCTGATCATTTCAACCAAAAGTTGCCTTGAATTTAAAGGATGTTTTGAAAGTTTACAGCGAATCGTTGTGCAAAATGGCGTCAAAAGTTTTGTAAATCGGACATAATCGTGAGAGAGAAAAGAGATATGCATAAGCATAAAGCCTGTTTTCAACTAGCCACGTATCGTAATGTATCGTAGCAAAGCGTAACATGGCGCATGCGTGCTTAGGAATTTGTTGGTCAATTGGCAAAAGAACGCATGCGCCCTGTTACGTTTTGCTACGATACGTTACGATACGTGGCTAATTGAAAACAGGCTTAAACTACTTTGGGAAGTACACTGTCATTTTCAAACTTCTGTTGAATGAAAAGATTATTTAAAAATTAGTATGTTCTGGTCAAATGCCCTTTATAAGGTGTTTTGCTTGCTGATGCGCCGTTAAGCTAATCGTGAATTACAGATGGAAAGTTTGCCTTTGAACCTTTACATGGCCCGTTTCCACTTAAGAAAATTTTCCATGGAACGTATTTCCAGGTTGTGCATACTCTTGCCTGACTAAATAGACAAAATTCAGAAATTTGTACATGAATAAACAAATTTTTGATCACATTACTTAGCGCATGCGCCACCTGAAAATTATACGTTTCGTGGAAAATTTTCTTAAGTGAAAACGGGCCTTTAGGTTCCATGTTGTACAGCGCAAGTGCATGAATAGAAAGTTCGAAGCATGAAGTTGAAAACAAAGCAACAGAGAATGCAACTTAAATATGTCAATTTTTACAGACCGAATGATTAACTTTTCTCACTGTTTTTTCTTTGGTCATACATTGTCGAACTTCGAAAATAAATCATTCACTAGATTTCGTTTTCCAATGTTTTGTTAATTAGATTATGTTTTTGGTAATGTTTTAAAAACGAAAACACGAAATATGTGGTTTGTGTCACATTTAATAAATATTTTATTTTGTTGTATAAACATTGAGAATAATAGCGTTTAATCAAATTTCAATGTTTTCTAGAAAATATCGAAGTGCGACAAACCGCCGCATCAACTACGGGTAAGAAAGACAATTTCATAAAAAGCCATTGTGATTTGAATAACATATAAAAGATTCTTTGATCAAAATAACATAAATTCCGAAATTTATGTGAAAGTTGTCGTTATCATGCATCCCCACATTTCTCTTTTATATTTAAAGAAATATTTACTCGTGAATCATTATAATTTACTTTCGATTCTTCCGAATCTCAAGAAACATTCACGGTCAAAAGCTCAAATTTCTTTTTCCACACACGTTTATAGCATTGTTAAATCTGTCGAATTTTTCTCCCTCAATGCATATTTTTCAGCGAAGTTCTTCGTTTCTAAAAAAGAGAAAAATTGCATTTAATGTTTCTTTATAATGAATAAACACGAAGTTATTTACGTAGTATAAGTAAAAAAGTGTAGCTTTGCATGGCATTTGCTTGTGTAAACTGGCCATTGGGGTTTCTTCTGTTGTATCGTTCAGTTGCATCTATAACGTAATGCTTTGCGTCAATTATTCCTAAACTACGCATTTAATCTTTTTTTGTTTCATATGTTTTGTTCAAAGATCGACCTTTTGTATTTAGAAGACCCATCCTACTTTCGTGATCGGCTTGCTTTATTGCAGAAAAAATATGGAGATATTCGCGCAAAGGAGGTAAACAAGTGATTACGTAGCCATGTTCGCCTGGATTGGCACGTGATTACTTAGCCATGTTCACATGGATAGTCTAATGATTACATAGCCGTATTCAAGAGGATCAAACTTTTATATGTACCTGCAAGGTGCCGACAATTTTTTCACAAAATTAGCTCTTAAATGAAGTATTCCTTATTGTTTCACAAAGAATTGCTGTTGTTTTCCAAGGGTTTGTTTATCAGTCGATGTGCGCCGTCATTCACAATGAACGTCTGGAAACATATCGTTGCTCCTTTCCTTTTTTCCTTATATCATCGAAAACTAGCCCGACATCTTTTGCCTTTTTATGATTTCATATTATTTTTTTTCTTTCAGCCAGAAAAAACACTACAGCCAGATCCAATTGCAGTGAAAAAAACACCCGAAAGCTTGGAAACTGTTGACAATAACCTCATTCTGACTTCAATAGTTAGTGTAGAATGCTCAGTTAAAGTTTATTTTCGTGTTCTGTAAAAATGGAAATCATTCATCATTTTCATTTAACTTTTTCCTCCAGCCCCCCTCCTGAATTTTGACAATACGTTATGGAATACTCTCAGAATAAGTTTTTTTAGTTCAATTTGATCAGCGTGACTTTGGTGATATCAGACAGTTGTTAGGATTTATAGAAATATTTCACTAGAACCTGTTAAGTTGTTTTTGTCTGCTGACTTACAATTAAACTGACTTGAATGCGCTTTTTCCATTTTGTAGCCAAAACCACAAAGTGCTGATATGGAAGCAGGCAACGAGAGGTCTGGGGAGAGTTCGACGGATCTTTCAGAACTACGAAAGCGACTCGAGAAAATCAAGAAAAAAGCTTTATAACTAATATCAGCTGTCTTACCTATTATTAAGTAAATTGATATAAATGACTTTGTTCATTCAAATTTTTTGTTTATATTTAAATTATAGTGCTTTAGTTATGTTCATTGTTCAGTTTGTAATGATAAAATTAAAATCAATACCAATGCACATTGGACGAATTCCACACGTGTTCTTCCAGAATTTCCTGAGCCCATGAACAAAAATTCTTGATACACATTATTCTGTGGTGTTATATTTCTATGTTTCTCTATAGTTAGTGGTACACTTTGCTCCGCCTCCACTCCTGTTAAAGTATTTACGACTCAAAATTTTATCACGAATTTATATGGGATAAAAATTTTCAAAAACCTTAGCCATTATAATTGATTCATTGGTCTTTTTCTAGACATAGCATAAAGACATTACAAAGATTACCAATTTTCAATATCGTTAGAACGTTTTATAAATCAATAGAACAGTTAATTAATGTGTAGATGAACAATTCTAAACTCTTGACAAAAACTAGTTTCTCCTTATGTGAATCATGCAATGTAATGTCATAACGATTCGTTTGCATATTTAAGCAAAAGTACAAATCTCAAAAAAAATAAGATAACACAATTCTATTTAAGAATTTATTAATTATTTTCATATTGCTTTTATAATGAAATAAGAAAATACCATGGCAAAATTTTGTATCGTAAACTATTCAAGTATTAATGACGCTTGCTTGTAGTAGTCGTTTTCCTCGCTTATGTAGACAATGGCGTGGACAGCACGTTCATGTACAAAGGTTATACGAATGTTTTGGTTGTAAAAATGATGAATATTTAATGTATAACTGAATAATCATTTTGATCATATCTTTACCAAACTAGTAGTATGACGTCTGACACATTACTACGTCTTCATCAATCTCGTCAACCATTGGCGGAATAACTTGATAAAAGAGACTAAGACCATTTCTTCAAAATCAGTCAAAAGTTTTCTTGTGAAGTGTTGAGCACAAGGAAAAACTTGCAGCATGAACTAGGCAATTGACAACACTATGATTATGTTACGCTGCAGTCTACAGACAATACCGAAATTTTATCTCAAAAAATTTACATTGCAATAATGACAATTGAGAATTCTGTTGCCCACAACAAAAAACAGACAAAAAAACAGTCCACGGCGATGTTCACCTTTCATTTTCAATAACATATTATAAAATAAACACAATGAAACGCGTGCGCAGATTGGCCTAGAGCTTAGTTTGCATCAGCCAGTGAAAAACACATCTGAGCTCAACCAATCAAAACAATCAATCAGTCAAAGAGAATTTGCAAATCGATCATGAATACATTTTAGAGGAAAAATTAAAATGCTTGTCTTTTTTGCATTATTGTTATTTTATAAAAGAAATAAAAAAATTTTTCGTGTTTGAGTTGGCTTATGCAAACCTCGGAGACGTTTGTGAGAACTCTCAAGCATGTGCAACCTCGTGCTTCGGTCTCTGGCTTGCACTGATCTGCTCTCGAGTTATCCCAAAGTCTCCTCGATTTGCATAAGCCGGTGGAAACACAGTAAAAATCTTTTATTTCTTAACTAGTGTTTAAGAATTTTCATTATAATCAAGTCTGTAGTAGTTTGCATCAGCGCCAACACAATTTGGTGCTGGCGTGCTACAAATCAATTGCCTTCATCATTTCCAGTAAATAGTCGTTCAAGACTTTCTATCATGTGACTCGCTCAAGGAACGTTCATTGGATCAATTGCACGGTCGCTAAAGAATGCTATTAACATATACATAAATTGTGTGCTTTGAATTAATTAAAAACTGGTAAACTAAGTTCTAAACGATAAGTTGCGTAGTAATGTTGATTAAACCTGCAAATTAGCCTCTAAATTAACTTAGAAATGTTTTCGGGCTTAGTTTGAATGAGTAAGATTGCGTAACCTTTCTAGATCGATATCATTCGGCTTGTCTCGTGTAGCTCTATCCATGAGATGAGACGGACAAACCAAGTTTTGCAATTCTTTACATTCAAGGACCTCACGTAGAGCATCCATTTTCAAATTAGGATTTTTACTAATGTCAAGTGACTTCAGATTTTCCAATTTTGACACCGAGTCGGGATCAACGTCTTGGAGTTTGTTGTGGCTAACATTGAGGACAGAAAGACTTCTCAATTTTGAAATGCCATCAGTAATCTTCTTTATGAGGTTTCCATTGAGATGGAGCTCCTCTAGCCATGCCATACTAAACAGTTTCTCTGGAATCAAATCGAGGCCACACTCCAGAATGAATAAACATTTCAGTCTAATGAGCTTCTGGAAGTTATCAAAATCATCTGTTTCAAGATTACAATTGCTGAAATTGAGTGTAATGAGTTTTTCGGGAATTAATTGCTCAAAAATTGTGGGTGGAATTCCTGGAAGACGAGAAAAAGACAATTTTCCTTCTTGGTCTAAAGTGGTTTCTAAAACTGCAACAGGAAATGCATCAACCAAAGTCTCTTTTGTGCTCACTTCGGAAAGAAAATGAGCGAGCCTAATGACGTACATTTTATTGTAGGCGTGCAATAAATGAAGAAGAAAACCAAGATCTCCATCTTCTGGATGTATATGTGATAATTGATTACCACTTCGTTGACGTATTTCAATGGAAAAATCATATTTGCATTTCTTACAAAGCAACACAAATGTCCAAAAAACTATTCTAAGGAATACCACTCCACTCAATGCCAAAAACACAACATAAACATAAACAATACAATACATGGCCGGAGCAAGGTTATGGGAACATAGAAAATAATCGTGAGGGATGGGAATGTGCTGAGTCAGTGTACACGTCATTGTGTCTTTTATATGTTTCAAGAAATAAATATTAATGACGAGAAATATTATTACTGAAATGAGTTGAAGCACACTTTTGAATGTATAGAGATTCGAAACTTTTGTAATGCAATGAGATGTTGATATGTCTTCCTTAAGTGTTTGCACTTTCTCATACAAGCCCAGTAACGCACTCGTATTTTCTGGAAGGAAATTGGCAGAATTGCATTGATCTGTAAAATCGGAAGTTTCGTTACTTGGGAGTCTAACGTATTTCTTCGTTTGTTTGAAATTTTGCTTGATTACTGCGTGAGTAACTCCTGAATTAGTACAAGGTGAGTCGTAACACTCCTTCACGAGATCAACAAATGTTTCAATTAACGACGAAGTTAAAGGAAGTTTCAACCAGAAATTGTCGAGAATAAAAAGCCATAATGCTTCAGCGAACAATACGATCCACAAATAAGCCAAAAAGTCTTGAATCGCGCTTTTACTGCATTCTGAATTGACAAAACTTTTGTATATAATATTGACTTCGTGATCTGTAACGACTTCCGTTCTTTCAACAAAGCTTGTATTTTGAGACTCGTAGAATTTTTTACATGTATCGGGAAATTTTAAATTCACAAGTGGCCAAGACGCATTCAAGTTTGGTTTTGATGCACTGGGGCAATTGACAACTGCTACACATTCCAAACTGCCTGATGTTACCTCCATACCAGCAACAAGAACGGATAACATTACTAAAAGTATCACTAAATAATCTGTTATAACATCCCACCAAGGCTTCAAAATCTTAAAAGTTTGTTTTCTTTCTTCCAGAAATATTCCATTGGCATCATCTTGAATAACCTATAAGAACTGAGTATTACGATCAATAGATTTTGCAAAACACAACGTTATATCAAATTCACTAACTAGCGCTTCCGCATTTTGTCTGCACAGCAGGATAAATCGTTTAAATTACAAAGTTTGTATACGTTGGTTAGCAACTAAACTATTTATTATGAAAGAATGTTTTATGCAGTGCGGTGTTTTGAAATTAAAAGAAGATATGATCTTCGCTCTTTGCTGGACAATTTAAGCAATTGTCTCATGTGTCATATCTTCATTTAATTTCAAAACATCGCACTGCATATAACATTCTTTCATATGACATTCCTTTCACGAGAAAATATGAGGCCAACAAAATTAACCTGCTCTCCACTGTGTCACTTCATAATTCAGTTGGTCAGAGCACTGCACCGGCATCGCAGACGTCATGGGTTCGAGTCCCGTTGAGTCACTTGAATTTTTCAGGTTCATGAGACAATTGCTTAAATTGTCCAGCAAAGTGCGAAGATCATATCTTCATTTAAACTATTTAAGTCACTTCCTTTGTAAACACGAATATTCCCGATTTGCAATTCGTTCAAAAGATCGAGATTTAAAATACCGAAACAGTTAAAAATATTAAAAATAAACGACGTTGTGGTAATGTGAATCAAGTAAACATACCTTACTATTAGTATATAATATATTCATCTTGTATCCAGAACTCCTGTGCCTTGGAAACTGTCTACAATCATCGCATTTTACTTTCTGTAGTAAGTAAAGAATGCCCAGTTAAGGTGAGTATTCTGCTATATTTACAGGATATACGTAAAGATTTTACTACAATTGGTTGACTTACAATTAAACTCACTGGAGATTGCTTCTTTCATTTTTTAGCCATGGCAACTAAGTTTTAATTTATCCGGTGGCCTGTAACGAGAGGTCTGGAGAGAGTTACACGGATGTGTAAGAACTGCGAATTAAAACGACTAGAAAAAATGAAGAATTTAGCTACATTACGTAAAATAAAGCAAGACTTTGTGTACTTAAACTATTTGCCTATAGCTACATTATAGTGCTGTAGTTATGTCATGTATTCATTGTTTAATTTTTGATGATGCAAAGAATAGAATTATGAACAATTCCAAGGCACTTTTCAGCATTTACGTGCTCCCGCGTGAACTCTCCAAGTGTATGAACAAGAATAGTCACAGTAGAAATTTTCTACTTTTCTTTATAGCAAGTACATCTAACTTCGAATATTAATGAGGTTTTCCTGTAGTATTCAGTTCCCTCGATCGCTTGTGTGAACAATGGCGTGGCCATCACGCTAATTTACTCGTGTTATTTTCAAACATTTTAGTTTGTCACTCAATGTAAAAACAATTAATATATAAATAAATAAAAAATGATAATGATCTAGTCGCACACTCAATGAGGGTAGCATAAAAGTCCCGCTCTCTCTAATCAAGGGCAACGACAATGGCGATGGCAGTATGAATAATAAATAATTTAAATCAATCAAACAACTAAGTTGAACACCTAAGAGAAGATTTTGAAGTCCACTCGGTGAGTAAGAGTATAATTGTGGGTGAACTTTTAGAATTCTAGTGTGAATTTACCGAACACGACCCAACTGGCAGAATGGATAACCTTGCTGCATGTAGCATCATAAAATAAACAGAATGAAACGCGTGCGCTGCATGATTAGTTTTGAGCTGTGTTTGCATTAGCTTATGCAAAACGTCGGAGCCCAAACAATCAAATCATTCAATCAATCAAAGATAAATTTGTAAATCAATCATGAGTACACATTAGAAGAATACAAAACGTTTTTTGTTTCGCACTATTGTTATTTTATGAAAGAAATAAAAGATGTTTTTCGTGTTTGAACTGGCCTATGCAAACCTCAGAGACGTTTGTGAGAACTCTCAAGCCGGTTCAAACCTCGACCTTCGGTCTCATGCTTGTACTAATCTGCTCTCGAATTCTCCAAAAGGTCTCCTCAGTTTGCATAGGCCAGTGCAAACACAGTAAACATCTTTTATTTCTTAATTAGCTAGTAACGTCTCTGGAATGCCGTCCCAATGTAGTGTGTTATAATCATATGCTTGGTAGATCAAAAGATAAAAAATTATGCTCTTAATTTCCATTGTTAATTTTTGCCAAAAGATAAATGCTGTAACTGACGAGCGTATTGGCGTGTTTTTGTTGAAATTTGATGTCGTATCCCCACTCCCAAGATCTACTGAAATGTCTATAGCTTAAATGCACTAACGCTCAACTACTCATCTTGATGGGTCTTCTCAGAAGTGTTATTGATTGGGCTTCTGACATGCATCCTGGTTTTTGTAGGGTATTTGCGGGATAAGTGTGAGCTATAGAGCAACAGCAGAACTAAAAGATGCTAGATTGTAACACGCAATCACAAGATTAACAAATGTTTCAAGAAAGGGCGAAGTTAGAAAAATTTTGAATTATATACTGTCAAGAATTAAAAGCCATAATGATTAAACGAACAAGAATAACGACAAAGAAATTAAATGAAGATTTGATCTTCGCACTTTTGCTGGACAATTTAAGCAATCGTCTCAGGAACCTGAAAAAATCAGGTGACTCAACGCATAAAACATTCATAATAATGACAAAGAAGCAAGATAGTTTGGAATTGCACTTTTGGTGCATTCTGAACTGACAAAACGTTTCCTTTGCGACTTAATAATAAGCTCTTAATAACTGAGCTCGAGATCTTTACTGAGAAATAACGGACCGAGGTATTTTTGTACAGACCGAGCCCGTAGGGCGAGATTTATACGTAAAGACAGAGGTCCGATATTTCAAAGTAAAAACCGAGAAAGCGAGGCTATTAAAAGGTTCATTATATGGCATTGTTTGACCTGAATTAAAGCTTTCTATCGTCTCTCGTCCTTGCTGTTTTGCATTCACTCCTGAAGTATCGTCAGTAAAAATAAATCGTTTGAAATTGTGTTGTTTCGATTTTAAAACTCACTTTCCAAGTGTTTTTCGTTATAATAACAAAAGAACAAGATCATTTCGCCGTTTTTTGTTTTACAAAACGTTTGCTGTTTGCTTTTCGAAGTTTGCTTACATTTATTTGTTTTGTAAAATTACGCGTTTTGGACCGTGGTCCATCACGAGAAATAATGGAACAGAAAAAATATTTTTGAACCATTCAAAGCACGCAAATTTGCCGGAATTGACGCTTGCCATATAATAATGGTAAATAATCTGTAGCGACCTGTAACGTAAGTTTGACAAAACTTGCAGTTTGGGACCATTGATTTCTGTTAAACTAACTGGATATACGAAGGGTCTGGGAACTGTTGTGAAAAACATGGATGCCAAAAGGAAATTTTTAACGAAGAACTTCCACTTATCCAAGAGAATAAAAATCAACAAAGAGAGTTTGCCAGGGTTATTTGTCTGTACAGGTTCACCTTCACACTTTGTAATTTGAATTATTTATGATTTGTTTTGAAATCTTCATCAGATACATGCAAGTAATTCCATCCCTTTTTGCTTCTTTTGCCTTCAACTTCATTGTAGCCAATGCATCCAATCAGGGGCCGCGCGGAAGTATCTCAAAAGTGGGGGGCACTGACCGAAAAGGGCATGTGAGTTTGCAGCTTACTGTTCTAGTATATTACAGATATGCATCGTTTCATGAATCATGATTAAGTTTCAAAATCTGCAAAATATTGGTAGACATTCTTAGAATGCTATACGTATTCTCTACTGCTCGGCGTGCGTGCTAACAAATTGAACTAAGATGACTATGTGAACAATTTTATTGAGTAATGCGATCTCATTAAAATTTTCCAAAAAATCTAACCTACGTTCGTTTTTCAGAACAAAGTCTTTAGCTATTAAACGTAAGTCCTATTCGTCAGTTCTGGCCTTGTTTACATGCATAACAATAAGACTATTGTAGCGTGCTGCCGTCATTGTGCTCCTGAGATGTGTCTTGACAAGCCGCTGGCATGATCTTTGATCATGAAAAGATCGTTCTCCAGAGGCTGCGCTCATTGGAGCAAGAAGGTATATCTGCAAGAGTTTGACAACATTAGACATTGCCATGTTAGAATATGGATGTTATGGTGTCAATTGATGTCAACTTCTTTACTTCTGGAAGTCGCTGCGAGATAATTCCTTCAAGAAGCTTTAACTCCGCCTTCAGCTGGTCAAAGTCGAGGTCATTCTTCGTGTTCAACTTCATCATTCAACTCAAACTTACGCCCGTTTGCTGCATTAATGAGCACGGTTTCGATGTTCATCAATACAGAATACGTTTTTTGATCGAAGCGCTCCTGTAGTGAAGCCAAGCACGCATCAATTGCCTCAACATACTGGGCACGGTGGGAGTTTTTCACAGTTTGGAAATGATGTTGCCCGCCATCTCCGTGTTGAAGTCGCCACGGAGCTTTCTTCGGTCTTGGTTGTGTTGGATCGCCTGCAAATTTGATAGCCTTGCTTGCAGCAACTACTTGGTCGTTAAACAAAGAGAAGTGTTCTCGTTGACGCTGCAAGTTTGTCTTCAAGGCATTTATGCAAGTAACAGTTGACAAACGAAGACAACCCCAATCGACAAACGCGATTTTTGATCCATCTGGGTAATCAAAATGAAAAAGCTATAGCTGATTTCGCATGATGCCGACAGACTTTGTTTTACTTTCGGGGCTAATTGTACCTAAGAAAAACTTCTTCAGTTCAATTTTAGCTAAAACAAGGGCATTTCTATACAATGAAAAAGGGCACTTTCATTCCAGAAAAAGGGCACATTTTTCCCTGTTGCAAAAAGTGGGGGGGGCACTTGCTCCCAATGCCCCCCCGGTTACGCGGCCTCTGCATCCAATATGAATCCTGGATCACCTAGAATTATACTAAGGGTGAATGCTTGTCAGATGAGCCATTGCTATACTAAACTTTTCATGCACAAAGTAACAAGATTTTCTTGAATAAAAATTTTACTCAATACTATCCAAAGCAATTTTTTTACTTTGGTTTTGATTTATGAACATTGTTTACTATTACAATGCATACTTTATTTACAGAAACACCAAGGATTATCGAGAAACTAGCAGCATCGAGCAACCTTTTTCTCATATTTAATATCTTTATTGTTTGTAATCTGCCAATTCGTGCAAAACAAGCTAGGAGTTGATTTCAAGACATTTTTTGTGGTACTATATATACCACAGTGTTGCTAAATATTGTAGGCAAGTTCAATTTCAACACAACTCTATTCATTACTTCCCATCATATTTTCTGAAATATAATAGGAACAGACCATAATCAGTTTCTTGGGACTAAACAGCCTAAACTCAATTCAAAATGGGAGGGTTTTGTTGATTTGTTTGATGCAAGATATGTACATCTAGAAGAGTTTCACAGCGTCTTACATGTATTTATGTAATAAATAGAAGTGATTGGGCCAAAACAAACATCAACTAAAGATTAAAGAGAGATTAAAAGGTTTTTATTATTCATCTTCAGAATAAAAAGTACGATGAATTTACATTGATTTTCTATATATTTATCATACTATACAAAGAATTACAAAGCAAAGAAAAAGAACTAAAGCATGACGTTGTGGTAAAAAAAGTTTCACAAAATAAATGAAATAAAATAAATGAAACAAATTAATAAATATTGAAGACTGAAGACTGATCACTAACGATGAAAACAATTATCTTGCTTACCGGCAATTTCATGAAACCATTGAAATGTTTTCTTTTCTTGCACTTCTTCAGCAACCGTTTGTCACACACGTTTTCAGCATGTTTTATTGTTGAACTTTTAAAAAGATGTTGCGTTTGAAATATTAAAAACTTACGAAATTTCTAATCGTCGCACGAATACTATAAAATATAGTGTTGATTGAAATCAGGAGGGGAGAAAACGTTTCCTAAGCATGAGCCTGTGCAACTCCGCTGAGATATTCGTCCAAAATTTGCCATATATGGTATAACGGCATCCATGTTTTTGACAACATGTTGCGCTAAATAAAATATAATAATAATTTGGATGAGATTGTACGTCCAGGTAATTAGTATACATGTCAGTGTTTGGGACTGGTAGATTTTTTACATGTGTCGAGTTTTAAAATTGTCAAATTTTTTACATGTGTCGCATTTTAAATTTGCCTTTGATGAAGATGTATTTGAGTTTGGTTTTGATTTGCTGCGACAGTTAACATATGCGACCCATTCATAACTACCATACAGATGTTACATCCATCCCATCAAAGAGAACGTTATTTTAAATGTATTACTAATAATCGCCTATAACATCCCAGATATGCTTCAACAATCTACAAAGCAGCTGAGAAAAACGACACATTAAATACATTGTTTCTGGTCATTATTTTTTTGGGTACTCAAAACTGCCGAAAAAAATAGCACTTTAATAGAAATTGTTGTATAAGACAATCGATAGCTGCGTATTGGGTTGCAAACTGTGCCGCACGATATTTGTTCAGAAAAAATTGAGAAACGTAGAATGTTCCTTAATCTCAGGATTTTGCCTCCATGCAACCTGTAATACCACTGCACACGATATAATCATGTTACATACATTTACCAACGATTTTGTGTTGAACATAGACAATAGATACAGACAATCAATGGAATGGTAAAATGAAAGTTGTTGCTGCTGTAACTTATTTATATCATCATATACGACACTGCTTTGTATACATATCACGAAATTTGTACTTTACGGATACAAAAATCTCGTATCACTTAACGAACTGTGCCACACGTTATTCGTTCAGAAACTCGAGAAACATAGAATGTTTCTTAATTTCATGGTTTGTCTTTACGAAAAGCTATACAATGCACAATACCACACCACTCGAGACAATCACGTTACACTCATTTACCACGATTTAGTGTTGAGCATAGAGAACCAGAGCAATCATCAATGGGATCGCAAAACAGACGTTGTTGTGCTGTGACTGTCATCTGATTTATATCTGAACTTTTAATGAATGTGGAAAACAGGAATGTCTTGAAAATCTCTGCATGATCATGCGACATTTTATATTTTAGCTATGAAAAAGATGATAAATGACAAGGAAGTTAAGTTTGTTAAGCTCATTTACTGTATCCGAAACAAACTAATTATTTAGAAAAACTTACTTTGTATTATGACAAATGAAAAAATATTTTTTTACGTGATGTGTTTCTATGTCATTAGTCAGCACTACAGTTTTAAATTGCTGCACTGTACCATTGTAATGTAGGTAAAATATCTCTAGCATTGCATTTATTGGCATAATGATATCGTGCATGCAAGTTTTATGAAAAAGATTAGAAAAATCTTTCGCATTACACTTGCACATCAGTCATTTCTAAATTACATATAGGAAGAATAACTTTCACCGAAATGGCCTATTTTAGTAAAAATGAAAATACTTTATTGGAATAGTTCATTTTACAAAACGATATCACTTCCATGTAAGAAAATACTTCCATTCTAAGCAATCGAGCAAAAAAAGTTGAGCTGACTGTCCTTCTCTAGTTTTGAGGCTCGTAAATGTCCCAAATCATCATTGCTATTTTATTTTCATATGTTCATTAAACAGAAAATTCCAACACGTTTCTTTTCTTCTACGTAAAATTTCATTTAAAGGTGTAATAAATATGTGCAAACACGATTGCAATTTAGAAATTTCTGTTTTCTATTGGCATTTACAAAGGGCCTATGAAACAAAGTTTTTACAAGTTAAATTATGTTTGCATTGAGCAGAACTTTTTAATTGACAGCGTACTATCTAAAAGAATTTATGCATGTCTTTTTAAATCCCTAACTTGTGACCTCACATTGCATAATGAGTTGTCGCAATGTTTCAAACACTGTTAAGTTTCCTGACAACTTTATGTTGATACTAGTATTGAGCATTCTACACTATTAAAACTTCATGCTGAAGGTCGCTCTGCCATTTTGAAGTAAAATATCCACAAACATACCTAATATTTCTTGTTCATTATGCAATATGTGACGTCACATGTTAGATGAACCGGACATACAAAAACCTTAATACCTCGAGGATGAAAAGTGCTATTCATTATCTGGTACAAAAGACCATCGTCATTTTGAAATATCTGCTCAATGAAAGTAAAACTCATATAGCAAAATTTTCGTATCAAGCACTTTAAACATACTTCGTCATGTAATATATCAGATTAGGATTCAATGCTCAATTCAACTTTATTTTTTATTAAAGTTAATGACATTAAATATAATGAACATGTTATGCAAAAAAAGAGCGAGTTCAAAAAATAATTGTTTTTCAAAACGTTTCATGAATTTTCTTTAAAAGCGAAAGGAAATTATGAAGAAAATCACACAAATTAAATAAATTTATCATGAACTGGTAATCAATTTCATTTTTTCCCTAATACACATTTACGCATTCTTTTCTTCTTTCCTTTTCTTCATTTCTTATTTCTCACCCTTAAAGCGTTCAACATTTAAAATAGTAAGAAATAATTTTTTTGCAGCCTTGTATAATGCTTTTTTGTTTTGTTCAGCCGATTTCAGCTTACCTGTAGTACTTTTCACGAATTGAGTATGACAACCCAAGTTTGCCAAATTCATCACGTAGAGCTTGCTGTTCCAAATCAGGATTGCCGTAAGTTTCAAGCGAGCGGAGACTTTTTATTTTGCTTAATGAGCCAGGATCAATTTTCTTAAGTTGGTTTTTTCTTAAAGATAAGATGGATAGATTTTCCAATTTTGCAATGCCAGCAGTAATCTCCTCTATGAAGTTTCCATCAAGACGAAGTTCTTCAAGGTTTGTCAAATTAAGCACTCCTTTCGGAATAGATTCCAGACCACACTTTAGAATGGATAAAGATGTAAGTTGGGTAAGCTTTTTAAAGTCCTCAAAATCATCGTGTTCAAGATGGCACTCAGTAAATTTGAGTGTCAAAATTTTATCGCAAACACTCTGATAGAAAATCGTTGGAGGAATTCCTCCAAGTTTACTAAAAGATAATTCATTTTCTTCTTCTAATCTGGTTTTTAAATCTGCAACAGGAAATTTCATTTTCAATGCATGTGGCACAAATTTCTTCTTGTATTTTTTGGAAAGCAAATGTGCGAACATTATGACGAACATTTTGTTGTACGAATGCAAATAATGTAGGAGAAAACCTAGATCTCCCTTTACTGAATGTATATCAGATAACTTCTCAGCAATTTGCTCCGGTATTTTTTTCTTAAAATCATATTTATATGTTTTATTACGCAAACGGAAATTCCAAACAGCTGTTGAAAAAAATATTACTAAATTCAGTAATAAATCAAAGTTATAAATGCAAACAATACAAAACAGAGCTCGAGCTAAACCATGTGAGCATAAGAAATAATCGTGTTGGATGGGAATGTGTTGGGTAAGTGTACACATCATTGTGTCCGCTTTTAAATCTTTAATCAAGAAATAACAATTAATAATGAGAAATATTATTGCTGAAATAGGTTGTAACAAACTTTTGAAAGTGTAGATTTTTGAAATATTTATATTGGGATGAGATGTTGAGATGTTTACTTTTAGTTTTTCCACTTTTTCATACAAACCCATCATTGCACTTGTGGAGGTAGTGTCTGGAAGGAAATCAAAATTGTAAGTTTGATCGGTCAAGTCGGAATTATCTTCCATGGCGAGGCAGACGTAGCTTTGGTTTTCATTGGAATTTTGCTGGAACAGTGCACGTGTAACGGCAAAATTTGAACATGGCGAATCGTAACACGCCATCACGAGATCAACAAATGTTTTAATTACCAATGAAGTTAAAGGAAGCTTCAACCAGAAATCGTTAAGAACCAGTAGCCACAATGCTTCGACGAACAATATGAACCACAAATAGGACAAAAAGTTTGGAATTGCGCTTTTACTGCATTCTGAATTGACAAAACTTTTGTATATAATGTTGACTTTATGATCTGTAACGACTTCCGTTCTTGCCACAAAATTTGAATTTTGAGAAAGGTAGAAGTTTGCACATATGTCGGGAAATTTTAGGTGTGCTTGAGGCCAAGTTACATTCAAATTTGACTTTGTTACATGAGGACAGTCAACAACTGCTACACATTCAAAACTGCCAGATGTTATCTCCATACCAGCAACAGCAACAGATAACATTGCCAAAAGTATCACTAAATAATCTGTTATAATATCCCAGAAAGGCTTTAGAATCTTATATTTTTCGTTTCGACCTTTCCAGAAATATTCCATGGACATCATTTTGATAAAACTGATTAGTTTTAATGTCAAATTTTTAGATAGTTGTGAATGTTTGACGTGTCACTTTACGCTACGCTAAATACGCATTTAATTGTCTTTGTTAACGTCGCTATTATTCCTGCCTAGCAAGATTAATATTCTTTAAATTGCAAAATTTCCATGCGTTATTTAGTGACTATTTTCTCTTTAGACACGAGTAACCACAATGCCCAATTTGTTCACACCTGACAATATTATTGTCATCAATAACAATGAGGTACAAACTTACATGTTTGAGCCTTTGGCCAACGCGCAAGGTGGTCAAAATGATGACAATTCTTCGTCATCGGAAAGCGAAGATGAATACATTCACAGAACTGGAAATGTTGAATGGTTAGTTGCGTTTTATTTATTAAAGCGAGATTTATGTTGCTTAATGGCTTCAGCTTTGCTGATTTTTGATTTGTGGTGAGTCAATGGGACAGGTATTTCTTTCACTCCAGCGACATCAAGAGCTTTGGACAGCGTTGGATTAATGCGTCTGCAGTACAAAACTTCTTTCATCAAGTCCTTAACATATCCTGAAAAGCAAATCATTATTTATGTTGGCTTTGCATTGCACTTTGAGAAAAGGTAAGTTTATTTTTCTGTGCTAACCATAAATGCTGTCAACTTTCACTGGTTTGATGACCCCTTGTCTTTCTTTTGACTTTGAGTAAGCCACTCTCCAAATCATTGCCTCTTCTATTTGCTCATCATTCTTCGTTTTCTGAGCTTTATTTCCATTCTCATTGAAATGAAGAGCAGCAATATACAATCTACGAATGAATGTTAAGTTTATGTTTACAATTATTGCAACTTATTGCTTTTGCAATGATGACTTTTTTAAGTGATCATACACAAGTCATAATTATATTACCTTGCTTCCGTTGATCTGTATAAAAAAATGGGTACGTTTTGGTGCAAAAAGAATCACCACTCGGTGGAAACCTTCGATGTATGAAGTCTGCTTCTGATAACTGAGTTTTCCAATATCTCTCATGAGATACTTGGACTCAACAATCGAAGACAGCTCAACATAAGGTTTTGAACCTAAGATCAGAAGTTGGCTAACAAAAAAAAAATGTTGATGTTACTTTGAAATTTATTCGCTTACAATACCTTTTTTTATCCACATTCTAGGCTCTAACATATCATGTTCACATTTTGGGAATACATCACTATGTCCCTCGTTGATGTCACATATATGGTTGAGAACTGACAACCACTTTGCCTTCGCAAGTTCTTCATCACCATTGCTGGAAGCAGCACACCAGTATACATGGTTGGAAATTGATTGGGCCCAATCTAACAATAATTTGCAACCACTTTTTTTGATGATGCCAAAATTTTCTTTTTGATTCCTGTTGGATTTTGATTATTGATAAAATGTGTAAAAGGTTGGTTTGTTATGATGATCTATAAATTCTGCTACATGCCATACATGAAAGTAGTGCTGGATTTTTGGTCTTTGTTTTGACATGTAGGATTTGATTTGAGCATGTCTGTCTGTGGTCATTGACTTCACCTTTATCCCACTTTCATCAAACTTTGCCATACATCTTTTTCATCCCTCAAGTTCCATTGCTCCAAAGTTGGACACTTCATTGGACTTTTTAACATAATTATGTGAGTATTCTAATCATGTTTTATGTACAGTTGTTAAAGAATTGTTACCTGAACAAGTTGTGTGTCTATAATGTTGTTAGATTCCAAATCCATGCAGCTGTATGACCCATACTGTTTGACCTGGACTAGCGACATTTACAAACATGTTACGATACTACTGGGCTCAAACCATTTACTTTAATCTTGATTTTGGTAATGAATTTTGTTCAGTTTCATCGATTGATTGCCGTTTTTGTTTCTTAGTTTGTAAAAATGAGGATAACGAAAATTTTCAGGACTAGCTGGTCCTGCAGTCATATAGCTAAAATAATACTTCATAAGTGACGTAATTTTATCGTTTATATTTTAGATCATATAAATTTGATAGAGAATTCGGAGCAAAGTGAGATTGTCCTGTACATACGAGCGACGTTAAAATCCAGTCCACCCAAACAACAGGACAAGAAACAGACGTCCGTACAAGATGAAAAATCGTCACGTGAACTCACGCCGCAAACGGTAAGTGAACTTATGTCGCCATACTTGGTTAGAATTTAAAAATGTGTTTCGACCAAGATGCATCGCGCGCTTTTTTTTTACTTACGTCGTTACTTTTGAGCTTGCTGCATACTGAATTCAATTTCGTCACTACGACGTCTAATTTAGCTATCTGAAAAGTTAGGAAAAAACATAGATTAATTTATATGGCAGTGCTGTTGAATAATTCTATAATTTATAAGAAATGTTAGCAAAAAACATTAATTAGAAACTCTATTTTACATTAATTATCATCGTTTGTCTAAGTTTTATAGACAACAATAACATAATTCGCCATTTTCTCGACACACAAAGTGACAGTTACGCAGTGATTAGCGCGAAATGCATCTTGGTTGGCACACATTCTTTAAGTGTCATGTCGACGTTAGGTCATGTATAGTTTACGTCTTTCTTCTTGTTGAACTTATGTCAATGTTCATTGATAATTCTTCGATCTCTCTCAAAGATAAAAACCAAAACTTTAGTCGCAATAATTATCTAGCTATATCATCAAGGTTTATCAATGATTCAAAGTACGGTTGATTCGATACTTCATTTAATAATTTATTTAAAAAACGAATAATTAGTGTTTAGTGTTGGTGTCTGATTTACCATTCACGTTAGTTAGGTAGGTTTTCACTGAATATTGATATTAATGAATATTTGGCCTCCAGCCTAGTTTCAATCGCCACCACCCCTCCCCCTCTATTATTCCCCCCTTTAAAAGGTACCGAAACCAGAATAAACTGTGAAATCAATCTCACGATAGACTCACGACTAATACCATTGTTAATTATGGTTTTTTCGTTGGTGTAAGCGTTAATTTGTTTGAAAATTGCAAATGTGAATGTTAAAATAGTCACTTGATCTGAGTCAAAACATACAAATTACATCACGTGTTACTTTTTTCAAAATGCACTTAAGCACGAACTGGATTGGCTGTATTTTGATAAATAAAAATTAATAGTAAAACATTCGTTGAGTGAATTAGTACGCGCAAGCAGTTTTGCGTGAGAACTTAATCAGCCCCTAGTCTCTTTTCAGCTCCCTTTTCTAAAAACCCGCCACTTGAAGGTAGTAAGAAAATATGTACCTTTAGGTAGTTGACTTGTGGGAATGCGGTACATTTCATTTCATTACACATTTCCATGTGAACTTCGTGTTGCATGGTTAAGTTCAGAAAGCACTCTAAAAGAATTTGAATAGCGCTTACTTCACTTATTAAATATAAAAATTCTATATGCTGTCTATACAGCTCAATTGTTTGTGAAGTAGCTGATTTTACTACTCTAACTCGACCGATTTTAGAATACAGAGCGCAGTTTTTTATCATTTTTACATGTTGCTATAGTTTTATTCATTTTGTATGTTTTTCTTAAAAGCCAATAACTCCGAAGATGAAAACACGCAAGCTTAGTCAGGATATACACGACTCTCTTGGTGATATTTTTAAGAAGATTGGGACCAAGGAGACTACGAAAGAGGTACTATAGGATGCGCCTAGTTTTTATAAATGAAATAACACATAATTTTTTGGCGAACACTTTATATATACTAAACCCTTATTAATCGAGCGCGAGGTCTTTGAAGATAAATATTGGGCCAATTTTTTTATATTGAAGTCTGGTATTTCTCTGTGATCTAACAAGCTTTAAGTAAAAATTTAAGTACTTGGACTATATCATCGGGCTGACTTCTCCACTGAGAGTGCACTGGTCATTCTTATAATGTACTTGAGAACTGCCGGTTGTTGATTTTATTAAATGAAGAAGCTTTGATTCTTATAGGGTCTCGTGGCTCTTTACAATTTTCGACTAAAGCATAAAGATGTGGACATAGAGCCTTTTCTCGAGCAGACGTCGGATTTCTTTCAAAAATATATCGCTCGAGGTCTCAAAACTATCGAAGACGAACGCAAGATTGATAACACAGGTAATCTATTCTCCCAACAAAAAATATTTCACCCACAAACAAACGAATTATGGGATAGCCGGGATATAATTAATTTTCTTTCTCTAAACATTGAAAGTTTGTTGTAACTTTTATTCTGACATATTACTCGAAAATTGTCCTATTCGGACTACATTTTCAATTAACATAACTTTTAAAAGTACAGTGTATCTTTTAAAGACAGTTTTTTTCATATCACTTTTCAATGTCAAGTTATTATACTTTATGTAATGTATGCTTTGCACAACTTGTGACGTTGCATTACATTTAGAGAATTTGAAATGGCGTGTATATTTGCTGATATGTTACTTTAACCAAGCAGAGTTTCCTTTATTGTGAAGAATTAATGGTGCAGACAATTGTCTGATCATTTCAACCAAAAGTTGCCTTTAATTTAAAGGATGTTTTGAAAGTTTGCAGCGAATCGTTGTGCAACATGACGTCAAAAGTTTTGTAAATCGGACATATCTTGAGAGTGAAAAGAGATATGCATAAGCATAAACTGCTTTGGGAAGTACACTGTCGTTTTCATATTTCTGTTGAATGAAAAGATTATTTAAAAATAAATATGTTCAGGTGTAATGACCTTTATAAGGTGTTTTTCTTGCTGATACGCCGTTAAGCAAATCATGAATTACAGATGGAATATTTGCCTTTGAACCTTTACATGGCCCGTTTCCACTTAAGGAAATTTTATGGAACGTATATGATTCCAGGTTGTGCATGCTCTTACCTGACTAAATATACAAAATTCAGAAATTTGTACATAAATAAACATTCTGTTTTTTTCCACTTGGAAATTTGATCACGTCTTCTACCTTACTTAGCGCATGCGCAACCTGGAAAATTATACATTTCGTGGAAAATTTTCTTAAGTGAAAACGGGCCGTTAGGTTTCATGTTCTACATCGTGCGAATCGGAGCATGAATAGAAAGTGCAAAAACAAACCGACAGAGAATGTAACTTAAATATGTCAATTTTACAGACCGAATGATTAACTTTTTTCACTGTTTTTTCCTTGGTCATACATTATCGAACTTCTTAAATAAATCATTCAGTAGATTTAGTTTTCCATTGTTTTGTTAATTGAGAGTATGTTTTTCCGTAATGTTTTAAAAACGACAACACGAAATATATGGTTTGTGTCACATTAAATATTTTAGTTTGTTTTATAAACATTGAGAATAATAGCGTTTGATCAAATTTCAATGTTTTCTAGAAAATATCGAAGTGCGACAAACCACCGCATCAACTACGGGTAAGAAAGACAATTTTTCAAAAAGCCATTGTGATTTGAATAATATATAAAAGACTCTTTAATCAAAATAACATAAATTCCTAAATATATATGAAAGCTGTCGTTATCATGCATCCCCACATTTCTCTTATAAATTTAAAGAAATATTTACTCATGCATCATTATAATTTACTTTCGAGTCTTCACTAACTTTGGACGCAATTGCAGTCGACAGTTTTAACCCCAAAATTTTTCTCCCGAATCTCAAGAAACATTCACAGTCAAAAGCTCAAATTTCTTTTTCCACACACGTTTATAGCATTGTTAAATCTGCCGAATTTTTTTTCCTCAATGCATATTTTTCAGCGAAGTTCTTCATTTCTAAAAAAGAGAAAAAGTGCTTTAATGTTTCTTTATAATGAATAGACACAAAGTTATTTACATAGTATAATTTAAAAAGTGTAGCTTCGCATGGCATTTGCTTGTTTAAACTGGCCATTAAGGTTTCTTCTGTTGCATCGTTCAGTTGCATCTATACTGTAATGCTTTGCGTCAATTATTCCTAAACCACGCATTTCATCTTTTTTTGTTTCATATGTTTTGTTCAAAGATCGAACTTTTCTATTTAGAAGATCCATCCTACTTTCGTAATCGGCTTGCTTTATTGCAGAAAAAATATGGAGATATTCGCGCAAAGGAGGTAAACAAGTCACGTGCATTGTTATGTTCGCTCCATGCTTATATGGTTAATCTGGTGATTACGTTGCCATGTTCGCCTGGATTGGCACTTGATTACTTAGCCATGTTTACATGGATAGTCTAATGATTACATAGCCGTATTGAAGAGGATCAAACTTTTATATGTACATGCAAGGTGCCGACAATTTTTTCACAGAATTAGCGCATAAATGAAGTATTTATTTCGGTTTGCATATTCCTTATTGTTTCACAAAGAATTGCTGTTGTTTTCCAAGGGTTTGTTTATCAGTTGATGTGCGCCGCCATTCACAATGAAAGTCTGGAAATATATCGTTGCTCCTTTCCTCTTATCCTTACATCATCGAAAACTAGGCCGACTTCTTTTACATTTTTATGATTTCATAATATTTTTATCTTTCAGCCGGAAAAAACAATGCATCCAGATCCAATTGCAGTGAAAAAAACACCCGAAGGCTTGGAAACTGTCGACAATAACCTCATTCTGACTTCAATAGTTAGTGTAGAATGCTCAGTTAAAGTTTATTTTAGTGTTCTGTTGGAAATGGAAATCATTCATCATTTTCATTTAACTTTTTCCTCCTGCCCCCCTCCCACTGAATTTTGACAATACGTTATGGAATACTCTCAGATTAAGTTTTTTTAGTTTAATTTGATCAGCGTGACTTTGGTGATATCAGACAGTTGTTATTTAGGAATTATAGAAATAATTCACTTGAACCTGTTAAGTTGTTATTTTCTGCTGACTTACAATTAAACCGACTTGAATGCGCTTTTTCCATTTTGTAGCCAAAACCACAAAGTGCTGATATGGAAGCCAGCAACGAGAGGTCTGGGGAGAGTTCGACGGATCTTTCAGAACTACGAAAGCGACTCGAGAAAATCAAGAAAAAAGCTTTATAACTAAAATCAGCTGTCTTACCTATTATTAAGTAAATTGATATAAATGACTTTGTTCATTCAAATTTTTTGTTTATATTTAAATTATAGTGCTACAGTTATGTTCATTGTTCAGTTTGTAATGATGCAAGGAATAAAATTAAAATCAATACTAATGCACCTTAACTCTCTTAACAATGAACTCTCGATCATGTGCAACCCTTGTGCTTCGGTCTCGGGCTTGCACTGATCTGCTCTCAAGTTCTCCCAAAGGTCTCCTCGGTTTGCATAAGCCTGTGCAAACACAGTAAACATCTTTTATTTCTTAACTAGTGTTTAAGAATTTTCCATTGTAATGAAGGCTGTAGTAGTGTGCATCAGCGCCAACACAATTTGGCGCTGGCGTGCTGCAAGTTAACCGCCTTCATCACCTCCAGTAAATAGTCGTTCATAACTTGACTTTCTATCACGTGACTTGCTCAACGAACGTTCATTGGATCAATTGCACTCTCGCTAAAGAATGCTATTAACATATACAAAAATTGTGCGCTTTGAATTAATTTAAAACTGATAAACGAAGTTCTAAACGATAAATTGCGTAGTAATGTTGATTAAACCTGCAAATTAGCCTCTAAATTAATATAAAATGTTTTCGGGCTTAATCCGGCTGAGTAAGATTGAGTAACCTTTCTTGCTCGTTATCATTCAGCTTGTCTAGTGTAGCTCTGTCCATGAGATGAGACGGACAAACCAAGTTTTGCAATTCTTTACATTGAAGGACCTCACGTAGAGCATCCATTTTCAAATTAGAATTGTGACTAATGTCAAGTGACTTCAGATTTTCCAATTTTGACAACGAACCGGGATCAATGTCTTCGAGATTGTTGTCGCTTACCTTGAGGACAGAAAGACTTTTCAAATCTGAAATGCCATCAGTAATCTTCTTTATGAGGTTTCCATTAAGATGGAGCTCCTCGAGCCATGCCATACTAAACACTTTCTCTGGAATCAAATCGAGGCCGCACTCCACAATGAATAAACATTTCAGTCTGATGAGCTTCTGGAAGTTATCAAAATCATTCACTTCAAGATAACAGTTTCTAAATTCAAGGTTCAAAAGGTTTTCGGAAATCATAGGATCAAAAATCGTACGAGGAATTCCTGGAAGAGTGTTAAAAGACAGCTTTTCTTCTTTATCTAACATAACCCTAAGATATGCAACTGGAAATCTTATGTTCAAAGCATGGGCCACCGCAATCTTCTTTTTGTTCTCCTCAGAAAGAAAACGAGCGAATCTTATGACGTACATCTTGTTGTAGCAATGCAATAGATGCAGGAGAAAACCTAGATCTTCCTTTACCGGATCTATGTCTGATAGCTGATCGTCAATTTTTGGAGATATTTTGTTTGAAAAAATATATTCATAGTTTTTACGACGCAATTTGACTGTCCAAAAAACTATGAAAAAGAATATCACTCCACCCACTGCCAAAACTCCGTTATAAATATGAACAATATAATACATGGCAGGAGCTAGGTTGTGGGAGCACAAAAAATAATCGTGAGGGATGGGAATGTGTTGAGGCAGTGTACACGTCATCTTGTCTTTTAAATCATTATAATTATAATTAATAACGAGAAACGATATTACTGAAAGCACTTGTAACACACTTTTGATAGTGTAGAGATTCGAAATTTTTTCAATGAAATGAGATGACGATATGTTTTTCTTTAGCTTTTGCACTTTCTCATACAAACCCATCAACGCACTTGTAGAGGTAGTGTCTGGAAGGAAATCAAAATTGTTATAATGATCGGTCAAGTCAGAAGTATCGTTGTTTGACACTCTTCTATAGCTGTTTGTTCGATTGTGTCTTTGCTGAAAAAGTGCTAAAGTGACTGTGGAATTAGTACATGGTGAATCGTAACACGCCATCACGAGATCAACAAATGTTTCAATTACCGAGCAAGTTAAAGGAAATTTCAACCAGAAATTGTCGAGAATAAAAAGCCATAATGCTTCAGCGAACAATACGATCCACAAATAAGCCAAAAAGTCTTGAATCGCGCTTTTACTGCATTCTGAATTGACAAAACTTTTGTATATAATATTGACTTCGTGATCTGTAACGACTTCCGTTCTTTCAACAAAGCTTGTATTTTGAGACTCGTAGAATTTTTTACATGTATTCGGAAATTTTAAATCTGCGAGAAGCCAAGATGCATTTAAATTTGGTTTTGACGCACTGGGACAATTGACAACTGCTACACATTCAAAACTGCCTGATGTTACCTCCATACCAGCAACAAGAACGGATAACATTACTAAAAGGATCACTAAATAATCTGTTATAACATCCCACCAAGGCTTCAAAATTTTCAAATTTTCTTTTCCTTTGTTCCAAAAATATTCCATGGGCAGCATATTGATAAATTTATAAGAATTGAGTATAACGATCAGTAGATTTTGCAAAACGCCACGTTACACAATATATCAAATTCGCTTACTAGCGCTTCCGCATTTTGTCTGCACAGCAGGATAAATCGTTTAAATTACAAAGTTTGTATACGTTGGTTAGCAACTAAACTATTTCAGTCACTTCCTTTGTAAACATGAATACTCCCGATTTGCAATTCGTTCAAAAGATCGAGAATTAAAATACCGAGACCGTTAAAAATATTGAAAATAAACGACGTTGTGGTAAAGTGAATCAAGTAAACATACCTTACTATTAGTATATAATATATTTATCTTGCATCCAGAACTGCTGTGGCTTAGAAACTGTCTACAATTATCGCATTCTGCTTTCACTAGTAAGTAAAGAATGCTCAGTTATCGTGAGCATTCTGCTATATTTACAGGATTTATTTAAAGATTTGACTACAATTGGCTGACTTACAATTAAACTCACCGGAGATTGCTTCTTTCATTTTTTAGCCATGGCAACTAAGTTTTCATTTATCCGGTGGCAGGTAAAGAGAGGTCTGGAGAAAGTTAGACGGATGTGTAAGAACTACGAATTAAAGCGAATAGAAAAAATCAAGAATTTAGCTGTATTACCTATAATAAAGCAAGACTTCGTGTACTTGAACTCTTTGCCTATAGCTACATTCAACACAGTCTCAAGCTTAAATAGATGAATAGCATCAATTGACAAAACGGCTTAAATAGATAATAATCATCAATCCAAGGGAAACTCCGTAACTATCCAAATTCAATACGTTTTGCGCACCCGCGAAAAGTTAACATGGCGGAAAAACGACCAAAACGTAAGAATTCACCATATTATACATATTGCTGTTCAAAAAGAATGGAATCATTGTGTATTAAATTAAGCCAATTTTAACTACAATTAAGCTATTATTTATTCTACCTTGATATACAGCGTGTAAAAAGAAGAAATCCGAGACTCTGGAGAAAGTTCTGAATGATGGTTTAGCCTTGTTGGCGAAAGAAAAAGGATCAAAATGTCGGGGGAAAAAGCCTTCTCATTTTCGCTTAGTGCAAGTTGGTTGTAAGAGGTTGACCCACACGCCTTACCGCTGCCGTCAAGGATCAATTAAGCAAAATGGTAATGTTAATATTTAGTATTTATATTAAAATTTACTATCTTCAGTAGTATGTTGAGATTGTTGTTCTTGTTTGCAATTTTATGCTAAATAATATTAGTATGCATGTGTAACTACATCATGCTATGAAATTTTGTACTTGAAATATTGACTGTACAATTTTGCTGCTTTAAATCATGTATGGCTCAAACAATTTTGTCCAGTGTCCTTAGCAGATTTGACTATTTAGTTTGTTATGGGTAAGCAGAAAGACAACTGAGTAAACTGTCATTACATTACCATGCATGGTTGTACCTAAAACTGTTACAGGTCAATGTTGTTTAAGTTAGGTACTGTATAAGAAATTGCATTGTAAATTTATATTAGATAACCAGCAGTATGATAGCTCTGTGGCTGATGACTTTCAAGTAAATGATGAGCACAAGCAAACAGACGTTGATATTGGTAAGCATCAATGTATATGTATAATATTAAGTTAAATGTAATAGGTTTGTCTAATGATTGCTCATGCTTGAAATGCTTTTGGTAAAACTAATAATTGCATTTGAAATCAATAATTGCAATAATTTGTTGAAAAGCATGTATGTAGCTCTATCCACTTTGATATTGAGCACCTTTATTTGATATTGTCTTAGATCATATACCGTCTCATTTAATCAGAAATTGTCCACAACAAGCTCACTCAGCTAACAATTTTTAATTTCTTTACTGGTTAAATTTTTTATAATATAAGTCAATATTGTTTTGTAGAGCTAGAGAATCTTATATTTGAATGCAGAGGACTTTTGGCTTCAGAGAAAGAGGATGCCAAGAAATGGTCTGATCGCATGGAAGAGCTTCATTCTCTTTGGGAAAATAATATATCTACCATATTCGAAACCTTGATCCTATGTGAATCAGTTGATAAAGGCACACCATGCTTCAATTGTGGGGAATCTCCAGGCTTGATAAAGTGTCATCAGTGTGGTAGTAACTGGCCAGTCTGTGTTGAATGTGATAGGAAAATTCATGAAAGAAAGCCATTCCATGATAGACATGGGTGGATGGATAATCATTTCAGACCACTTCAGCCATCACATTCATTGGATAAAAATGGACAAATAATTGAAGTTGGTATGTCATGTAAATATGGTAAAAGTATGTTAAATGTCATATGCACTATGCTAACTGATGTCAAAATCAACCTACATATGTAGCTACTTATAGGTATATAATTTGGGGTGATATAATTCTATTATTTATAAAAAAAAGGTTTTATCTCCCAGTCTAATGAGGGAAATTTATTATATTTGTTTCTTAGATTGCTATGTTTCTTTGCATCCTGTCCAAAAGTTTTGTCATGGCTGCTCTAGAAAATCAACCTTTCACTTCGTGCTCAGTAAGGACATGCTGACTATTTGTACAACACAAGGTAATGTACAAAGTATTTTATACTTGCAATGTTGAACATGCAAAATTTTGTGTTTGCTCCAATAAAATGTAATCTTATTGAACCGACAACTGTTGACATTAATCTTTAAACATTTTTGATTTCCTTCTTCATCAGTGTTGTGAAGGACTACTATATAATTTACTCATTAATTTACTGTAGTATTCTTCTTACATACTGTAATAGTTACATGTATACAGTAAACTGCCATCCTATGTACATAATGTCTTTTTAGTTATCATGTTTATTAATCTTTTTCTATTGTTAGGTCACTTTGACATAAACAGTACATCATTCAAGTGTGTTTCTTGTTCAGCATTGTTGATGCCGACACTTGCAGATATTCTTGGTAATGGCTACTGGCCAGCAAATCCAAAGTCTTTAAATGTGTTATTTTCACAGGATTTACTTCTGCTGTGGAACACAATGCAAAAGAGAATGCCAGGTTGTTCTGAGTCCAGTTTTATTAGATCATTGGAAGACATAAGTGTTTCAAAAGGAAGGGTGCATACATAAATACTTTGTGTGTATGCCACATTACTAAGTGTAAACTCTCAGCATTGTACATAGTTTTTTTTTGCGTAAAGCAATTACCATTGTCACTAGTGTTATGGAAAACATCCAAATTCATGAAAAAATGTATATGTATGTGTGGCAAAAGTCTACAATTTTTTCTATGTGATTTCTACTTTCTTTCATTTTTAGTTTGGATCAATAAATCCACGAACGTTCACAAAAGCCTTTCGAGAATGGAAATATTTTAATTATGAGGTGGAAAAAGCCCAGGGAAAAGAGTGGATGTTTTGTCCTAGTTGCTCATCCAACCAACACTCCTGTCATGTAGATGGCAACATGAAGTTATACCGATATAAACATTCAGGAAGGTATTATGTCAAACTCTGTAATTTTTACACATTCTAAGGAGCCTTTCATAATGTAAACTCTTGTTTTCTCTCTTTTATAGAGAACAAAGTCAGTCTTACTATGGAGATCTTTTTATTTCTTCGAATGAACATGTTTCAGAGCATATTAGAAAGGTTTATTCCACTCCCAAAGTTCGGGTAATTTGAGGTCATGCTTTGCACTGATGTTGAAATGTTTTGTACAGTTCAGTACAATACACCATTACATGAGTAAAGTTCTTTTCATTATAACTCAATACTTACCCTTTTGATAATGATATTTATTCATTATTATTGGTTTTGCATTTTGGCTATTGTATTCATTGTAATAAATAATAAAATCGACAGTTTAGCCTTTTCTGAATCAATATATAAATGTTCGTTTTTCCACGATCATGGTTCGAATTTGAATCTTTTGTGTTACAGAACTTTTCTGATGACTGGAAATATGGTGAAAGTAATTCGCGAGCTGCTGGAGCGAAAGGAAAACGAAAGAGTCGTCTAGACGAAACAGGACTGGAAATTGCAGGTTGCCGGCATGCAATTGCTCAGTGGGCTGTAAACATGTTACGCGGAGAGATTTATGGCTACTCTAATTACATCCATGTTCACAAAATGATTCCAAACAATGTTAAATACATTTGGCAAGATATCATATGTAAATATTGGAAGTGGGCAGTGAAGGCATCAAAGTCGGATGAGTCAAATGCTCACGAAATAAAACTTGCTTTATCTGTGATGCATGCCAAAGCACATAATTGGACATGCCAGGTACACTGGTATCATGTGTTTTTTATAATGAATGCTGGCTGTGCACTTATACGTATATCGATGTTCACTCTCAGTATTGTCTACTCAGACATTAATGAATTTCTTATAAACAAGAATTTCCAAACTCGTCTTATTTTAAGGTATTGTGGGGAGGACGGTGGCAAAAAGGTTCTGCATATTCCACAGGAGAGGAAGTTGAGCAGATTAATAGTTACCTTTCGAGACTGGCCAACACTACAAAGTACATGTTACCCGAGTGTAAGTGTTACTTAAAATAAGTTTATAAAATATGTTTAATTATATTGTAGACTTTATTTGTTGGATAGAACGATTATCCATATAACGTAGCTATCGTCCACGTTGGTCTCAAGTTACTGGAACATTTTTTATGGTTTCAAATTGATGTGTCATGCTATGTATGTGCTTTTTTGACAATTTTAGCAAGAGAAGAACTCATAACTGAACATGCTCTTGCGTGGAATAAACGGAAAATATGTGATCTGTCCAGCTCCCTCTGCAAGAGATATGCAAAGGTTGCTTCTCAAAAACTATTTTGTACATGCGGCCAAATAACGCTACTAACAGCCGTCATCCTGATAAGTTATTTTTTTTTTAGTATATAGAAGCTCAAGAAAATACAAGGAAAGAACTTGATGAAATGGTTTCTGGCGTAAATCTCTCTCCGAACCACGATGATTTCTTGCAGTGGAAGAGTGAAGTTCAACGTATTGCAAAAGGTAACCGGGTTTTACTTGCTGGCATAATTTAATACGACTGTGCAGTATATTATATTTTTTTCTGTTTCTGTAGAAATGGAAAGCTCCTTCTTCACGTATTTAGCCGAAGAAGAGGAATTGTACGTTTTGACCTCCTCTTTAACCGATACCTCTTTATTGACATCAAATGTAAACATCTCGCGTGTTGAGACTGAAGACTATCTTTCTGCCCTGTCGAAAAAGATAATTCAAAGATACTCCACCGTTGAGGATAAACGTAAAAGAGTTAAATCACTGACTGCCAAGCTTTGTCGTGATATAACCGCCGATGTACTGCTTGATAGAGGAAAAAGTTATTTTGGAAAGTGCCTTGAAGTGTCTTAAGAATGAACTAGAAATGTTGTCTTTTGCCATAGTACAAAGGAAAGCAAGCGTTGTAAAATTGGGAAGTATGTTTTACATATACACGTATATTACTACATAAGAGGAGTGCATTTGTCAGCAAGAATCCATACTGAAGTCATTGCAAATTTAAGGCAAAATAGATTGTTTCTTATTTAGTATACTTACCTGTTTCTTTTGCCTGTAGACTCAGCAAAAGCAAGAACAAAGATAAGACAGAAGATGTCTAGTGATCAGAAAAACATTGACAAAAAAATGCGCATATTCAACGTATTACAGTTTGTTGTGCATGGTCAAGAAGAAACAGTAAGACTCGACGAGTGTTCTCTGGTTGATGGCATGTTTCCCTGGACTCTCAATGGTGTGTACCTAAAACATATTCTGTAAATTCCAACATGCCTTAAGTAAGAACTTAAAGTTACTTAAACGTAATGTTATAAAACATCTTTATATAGAAATTTCTGTTCGACTGAAATGTAAAATTGTTGACAAGTTCGAACATTTAGAAAGACTGGAGGAGGAGTTAATTCTTATTAAGCAAGAGATGAGTAATTATTTGCGATATTACAAAGATATCGTTATTCCAAAGTTGAAAGCGGAAGTAAAAGACATGGAACAAAGTCTAAACTCAGGTATGTATAATGAAAGTCACGTATGTACTGTAAAGAGTCCATGTGCTCATTTTAAACAAATCATTGTAAGACATAAGCTTTTTAGATTTTTTGAGCTTCTCAAATTTTCAACACGTTTTGTAGAAAGAGTTTCAGTGAAAGACACTAGGGAATGTTTGTCAAATGAAAGAGTTGAATCTGAGGTATATACATATAATCTTCCGTTAAGCACCACGAATATGTATGGAGAAAATAAACAATAAGTCGTGCGCAACAAACATAATGAAGGAACCTTAGCGTACATAAAATGTTTTTGTGGAAGAAACCAAATGCCATGTAATCTATTATTTTTTAGAAATCCTTGTATGCTTCTTCGTCTCATAAATCAAGACGTGTTATTTTGGGTGAGATAGCTTTGCGATACAAGGGTATAAACTTTGCAAAGCAACAGCTAGACCTTGGATCCAAGCACTTCTCCTGTATTAACAGTCGCGATGTTTTGGATACTTTAGTTAGCAATGAGAGTGATATTGAAAGCTACAGCGACAATGAAGACGATGATCTTTTTGATGACAATGGTTCTGATGATAAGATCGATGATTGCTAATGTTGCTAGTGATAAATGACTTGTTATTAAACTTGTATTTGTACTGTATGATAACAGAATCCAGCTACAATGAGTGGGTGCAACCATGAAACCCCTGCCTTAGAGCAACTAATACGGGTCATAATTATCATTCCCGGGGGACTGGAAGCATTGTTATCCATTACTGATATGATCTGTTGCAAAAAACGGGGAAAACGCCATAAATTATCATTTGTAATATTAAAAAGTGAAACGTGCATTTTGAAAAGTCCTTAAATATTCTTATTATGATTTTTTCTTTTATCTCAACATTACGCGAGGTTACACGTTTGTTTTGGTCTAGTGTTATCTTTTATTGTTGATTTTTTTTGTAACGTTCTATTCTTGTTACACATAAATCAGTTGTAAAAACCATGGTGTAAAATTAAAGTGCAATTTTTCCTCGTTGTATTGAGCTGTTAGTGCTTTACGGTTGGGTTTGTGGGTAAAGATATAGAACATTAAAGCTGAACAGTTGGGTAGTAGATTTTCAAATACAATACACCTTACACAGTATATACACTATACGCACTATACACACTATACACACTATACACACTATGCACACTATACGCACTATACACGCATTACACACTATACACACTATACACACATTACACGCTATACACACTATACACACTATACACACATTACACACTATATACACTATACACACTATACACACATTACACACTATACACACTATACACACAAATTTTCCTGCTGGCTTCCCCACTCGCAATATATAGATAGAAGACGTTCCTTATTATCATTAACTCCTAATTTGATTTTTATTTTTTTTCGATGAAAGCAAAAAACGTTTGTTCATATAGTTTCTGTGGTGGAATGGTTATCGCATGTGTTTAACATTCCAAGGACATCAGTTTAATCCTGATAAGAAACAATATTTGCAAAATTTCATCCATAATTACACATTCTAACTAGTACATGTTTTTTCATTTGCATACAAAACTATCACATGAGTAATACCAATACAGTTAAAAACAAACTAGGAATTTCATTTAATTAATAATACAATGTTCACCATTCGACCTTAATTTATATTTGTTCTAATCAACGGAAACGTGAAAGTGTTTGTGTATGTACTGTACTGGTAATCACGTGTGTCTTAATATGCAAAAGGTCCTGAAATAGAACTTATCAAATGTTATAATTTTAATGCCTGATCACTATGCTAAGCCTGTGTATGCGTAATATATTGTCAGGTAAGTCTAAGGGTTGGATTAGAATATATTCAATAACAGATTAATAGAACCACCAGATCATGGATTTTCATAAATGAATGTTGCATAAATGAACACACGTTCGCTTTCGCCCTTAGATGGAGTTCATCCAATTTTATAAACTTACGTCGCATGAAATTGTCAAAAAGCTTTTCTGTTAATTTTCCATACTCTGTCTCAGTAAGAAACTTGGCAGCTGGTCCAGGAGTGCCGTGTAAGTGAGTGGTATAGCCTTTTGCATGTCTTGAGAACGACAAAACAATAACGTGTTGGTCATGATGTTCATTTAAGACAGAAGCCTAAAATAAATAAAGATTACAAATAAACTATCTTAGTTTGCTTATAGTAACAAAAGCCGTAAGCAATCATCGGTGGCAAAATCCTTAGAAAATGTGATTTTCAATTATGTTAAAGAAAATTCGTTCCCAACATGAACGACTGGAAATAATTGAGTAAAAATAGTTTGTAAAAGCTCTGCTGAAAGTCATGGTCTTTTTCCTGCTGCTAAAGTTTCCAAAGACAATGCAAAACAACAGGAGGAAAATAACACCACCACATCTGCTCGGCCTGCACACATCTTTCCAGTTGAAAAAAATGCTACACATTCACTTATACAACAATGCATACACACATACAAACATTATTGTACATACAATAAATACCTATAGATACATATACTGTACACAGACAGATGAATATTTAAAGTTTGATACATACACAGAAGCAAATTAGTAGCATGTAAATATTTAGCATACATTGATCACACTTCCAAAATTATTCCCATTTGCAAATATTGGGTTGGTCTGTATTGTATAGAAGTATCTTGAGAATTGATACTAACTCTGTACATCATTAGTTCCCTTTGGCAAGAAGGATTTGTCACACCCATTTTCCTAATTCTTTCCATGGAATTTACACGTTTCGAAATGAATTCCTTCGAACAACTTTCACACTTCTTTGAAACATTTCCATTTTCTGTTCCACAACCATTACATTGCTATAAAAAAGTATAACAAAACATATGCTTCAACCCATTAAGACAAAACTTGCAGCAATACAAAATTCACCATTCACAAAATACAACAGGCACAAATTGCAAAATTTACAAAATTCAAAATTTACAAAATACCAAATTCACAAAATTCACAGCAATACACCATTCATAGCAACTACATTTTTCAAAAGTACCACATGACTATGTATGAGTGATGAGGCCAAGAATTTAAGGGTACCTTTTCATCCTATTTTTATTGGTTGTATAGCCACAGGTCAGTTTTAGTTGTCAATTGTGAGGATCTAGTATATAGGGGTAATGGGTTAACCAGAAAATTTGACAATGTCTGCACTCTGTAGTTAATCCTTTAACTAGCAATATGCTTTACTCATTTTTTGACAAACGCCACATGACTTTACTTGTCATTTGGTAGCTATGGAGCTAAATTAGGTTATTAGAAATAAGTGATAGTATAAAATTGAAAAATGTTGTCGTTTATTTAAAATGTTTGTTATACAATTGACAAATAAAATTGGCAATTAATAAAAATGGGCTTAATTAATTGATATAAAATAAGTGGTTTGTCTTGATTCACAAGAGTTGTCATTCAACTGATCTTTTATGCTACTATCAGAAAAAAACTTCTGTTGATATATAATATTGTATGTTCTTTAAAACATATGTCAACAGGTATATATGTAGCATGCTTTTGAAGGGTACAGTTAGTATCAAAAAATTAGGCAACCATTCAATACATATATAAATTTACCTTAGTTGTCTTTCCTTGAAATCTTTTCTCTAAAAAATACAACATAAAATATAATGATGTACAAATAACCATGCTTTAAATTAGGCATAGGATGACAATAATCCAGATTCGCTTCACTGCTGATCTTAAGATTAACCACATACTAGAACTATCACAGTGATCACTAACATTAAAGTTATACATATAATATACATAAAGTCTGATGATGGTAATAATATGTTGTTCTATTTGAAAGAACATTTATACATGCAACTACAGAATAGATCCTTACGTACAATTCATAGTTTACTACGCAATGCTGGACAGCATACAGGAATATTTTTCCAATTTGCAAATGGAGTTTATCAAAGAAATTAGGTCATTATTGAAAAAGTCTATCAATGTATGAGGCACATGGGTAGTAATAAAAAAATAATAAATCATCCATTAACACGGGGGATAGCATTTCCAGTGCCGTAACTAGAAAATTAATTGGGGTGAATATTCATATATTCAGCTCTGCCCTGCTGACTTCTATTGAAATTAAAATCGCAAACAAAAGAAATCAGCTGGGCAGAGCTGAATACATGAATATAAACACCCCCTAATTAACGTTCTAGTTTTGCCCCCCGAGCATTTCTTTTTAATCAAATCTTTTTTTGATAACTTTTAGCAAAAAATACTTGTTAAATAAACGTTTTCTACATGATTAAATAAATCTAATACAAACTAAAAGCACTATCTTAAAAATATTGGCTTGACTCTGATCAGGATTCACGATCAAACATCAATCAAAATCAATGAAGAAAAATACAAGAATTTTAATTTTTTTAACGATATGATTATAAATACTACAAATTATGAGCAAACTAGCAAATAAATTGAAACGGTCAAATCCAGTAAGTCAAGCATTCAACATTTCACGATGTCACGCAACTCAAACAGTCAAACTGCAGCTCTCGATTTTGATTCGAGAATTCGTCTTGATTAAAACCATTTTTACAAGTAAAATTAAACACCTTGTTAGAAAGGAAAACATTGATACATGATCAAAATGAAAAATATGAAAGGCTTGTGAGACCTGATTGTAAAATGGCTATTTCTATTTACATACCTGTGCTGCAGCCTGCCTTTTCCGCCATGTTAACTTTTCGCAGGTGCGCAAAACGTATTGAATTTGGATAGTTACGGAGTTTCCCTTGGATTGATGATTATTATCTATTTATGCCGTTTTGTCAATTGATGCTATTCATCTATTTAAGCTTGAGACTGTGTTGCTACATTATAGTGGTGTAGTTATGTCATGTATTCATTGTTTAGTTTTTAATGATGCAAAAAATAGAACTATGAACAATTCCTAGGCACTTTTCATTATTTACGTGTTTCCACCTGAACTCTCCGAGTGTATGAACAAGAATAGTCACAGTAGAAATTTTCTACGTTTCTTTATAGCAAATACATCTAACTTCGAACATTAATGATGTTTGCCTGTAGTATTCAGTTTCCTCGATCGCTTGTGTGAACAATAGGGTGGCCAGCACGTTCATTTACTCGTGTTATTTTCAAACATTTTAGTTGGTCACTCACTGTAAAAACAATTAATATATAAATAAATAAAAAATGATAATGATCTAGTCGCACACTCGATGAGTGCAACATAAAAGTCCCGCTCTCTCTAATCAAGGGCAACGACAATAGCGATGGCAGGATGAATAATAAATAAATTTAAATCAATCAATCAATTATGTATTGAAAATATTGTTGTTGAACAACTAAGAGAAGATTTTGAAGTCCACCCGGTGAGTAAGAGTATAAGTGTGGGTGAACTTTTAGAATTCTAGTGTGAATTTACCAAACACGACCCAACAGGCAGAATGGCTACACTTGCTGCATGTAGCATCATAAAATAAACACAATGAAACGCGTGCGCTGCATGATTAGTCTAGAGCTGTGTTTGCATTAGCCTGTGCAAAACGTCTGAGCCCAAACAATCAAATCATTCTATCAATCAAAGAGAATTTGTAAATCAATCATGAGTACATATTAGAAGAATACAAAACGTTTTTTGTTTCGCATTATTGTTATTCTATAAAAGAAATAAAAGATGTTTTTCGTGTTTGAACTGGCATATGCAAGCCTCGGAGACGTTTGTGAGAGCTCTCGAGCCGGTTCAAACCTCGACCTTCGGTCTCATGCTTATACTGATCTGCTCTCGAATTTTCCAAAAGGTCTCCTCTGTTTGCATAGGCCAGTGCAAACACAGTAAGCATCTTTTATTTCTTAATTAGCTAGTAAAGACTCTGGAATGTCGTGCTTTTGTTAAAGTTTGCTGTCCTTACGTAGGGCGAGATTTGTACGTAAAGACAGAGGTCTGATATTTCTCAGTAAAAACCGAGAAAGCGAGGTTATTAAAAGGTTCATTATATGGCATTGTTTGACTTGAATTAAAGCTTTCTATTTTCTCTCGTCTTTGCTGTTTTGCATTCACTCCTGAAGTATCATCAGTAAAAATAAATCGTTTGAAATTGTGTTGTTTCGATTTTAAAACTCACTTTCCAAGTGTTTTTCGTTAGACTAACATAAATACAAGATCAATTCGCCGTATTTTTTTCGTTTTTTTTTCGTATTTTTTCGATCTTTTCGTTTTACAAAACGTTTGCTGTTTGCTTTTCGAAGTTTGCTTACATTTATTTGTTTTGTAAAATTACGCGTTTTGGACCGTGGTCCATCACGGAAAATAATGGAACAGAAAAAATATTTTTGAACCATTCAAAGCACGCAAATTTGCCAGAATTGACGCTTGCCATATAATAATGATAAATAATCTGTAGCGACCTGTAACGTAAGTTTGACAAAACTTGCAGTTTGGGACCATTGATTTCTATTAAACTAACTGGATATACAAAGGGTCTGAGAACTGTTGTCAAAAACATGGATGCCAAAAGGAAATTTTTAACGAAGAACTTCCACTTGAAAAATTATCCAAGAGAATAAAAATCAACAAAGAGACTTTGCCAGGGTTATTTGTTTGTACAGGTTCACCTTCACATTTTGTAATTTGAATTATTTATGATTTCTTTTGAAGTCTTCATCAGATACATGCAAGTATTTCCATCCCTTTTTGCTTCTTTTGCCTTCAACTTCATTGTAGCCAGTGCATCCAATATGAATCCTGGATCACCTAGAATTATACTAAGGGTGAATGTTTGTCAGATGAGCCATTGCTATACTAAACTTTTCATGCACAAAGTAACAAGATTTTCTTGAATAAAAATTTTACTCAATACTATCCAAAGCAATTTTTTTACTTTGGTTTTGATTTATGAACATTGTTTACTATTACAATGCATACTTTATTTACAGAAACACCAAGGATTATCGAGAAACAAGCAGCATCGAGCAACCCTTTTCTCATATTTAATATCTTTATTGTTTGTAATCTGCCAATTCGTGCAAAACAAGCTAGGAGTTGATTTCAAGATATTTTTGTGGTACTATATATAAAACAGTGTTGCTAAATACTGTAGGCAAGTTCAATTTCAACATAACTCTATTCTTAACTTCCCATCATATTTTCTGAAATATAATATGAACTGACCATAATCAGTTTCTTGGGACTAAACAGCCTAAACTCAATTCATAATGGGAGGGTTTTGTTGATTTGTTTGATGCAAGATATGTACATCTAGAAGAGTTTCACAGCGTCTTACATGTATTTATGTAATAAATAGAAGTGATTGGGCCAAAACAAACATCAACTAAAGATTAAAGAGAGATTAAAAGGTTTTTATTATTCATCTTCAAAACAAAAAGTACGATGAATTTACATTGATTTTCTATATATCTATCATTCTATACTAAGAATTACATAGCAAAGAACAAGAACTAAAGCATGACGTTGTGGTAAAATAACGTTTCACAAAATAAATGAAATAAAATAAATGAAACAAATTAATAAATATTGAAGACTGAAGACTGATCACTAACGATGAAAACAATTATCTTGCTTACCGGCAATTTCATGAAACCATTGAAATGTTTTCTTTTCTTGCACTTCTTCAGCAACAGTTTGTCACACACAGGCGCGGATCCAGCTCCTTAGCTGACCGATGCATTGCGAGCGCCGAAGGCGCGAGCCACTGCTAGGGGGGTCAGGGGGCATGCTCCCCCAGAAAATTTTTGAATTTTCACTATCCGAGAAGCATTTTCCAGCGATTTGGGAAAGGTGACAGAAAAATCTTAAGCGTAAATTTTATCGAAAAAATAACATGAGCCGTCTTTTGTAAGATAACAGCATTGATAAAAGCAATGTTCAAAGGTGGTCTTCTTCCAACGGTAAAAAAGATGAAAAGTTTAATAAAAGCAATGTTCAAAGATGGTCTTCTTCTAACGGCAGCAAAGATGACAACAATTATAAAAGCAATGTTGAAAGATCGTCTTCTTCCAACCACAGCAAAGATGAAATGTTTAAGAAAATCAATGTTTAAACGTGGTCTTCGTCCTCTCAATAACGGCTGAAAACAAGATAACTCTCAAAGAAAATGTAGGTTGTTTATCAGCATTAAGAATTTCTCATGGAGCTCATCGTCAAGCATCTGTTTCTTTATCCTCCAGGATATCAAGAAATTGCATCCTCGTTGGGTTTTGTCTAGCAAAGGTATTAATCACTTCTTCGACATCACACTTAATATCATCATTAATATGCATTTGGGCTAATCCATTTAACCTTTCGTTGATCATTGTGCTACGTAACCAAGTTTTCATTCGACGAAGGGCAGAAACGGATCTTTCACACTCACATGTAGTGACTGGCACAACAGCGAGTATCTTAAGCGCTGTAAATATATTTGGAAACGCAAGTTTGTTACAAGTTCGAAGCGTGTCGGCAATTGAATCGTACTTAACTTTCTCAAAGCCCCCTTTCCAATTTGTTTCCCACAATCCTAATTCAGCATGTATTTTCCGAAAGTGTGGCATATCCTCTTTATATGCAACAGCAAACTTCATAAACTCTTCCTTCCAATTAACGTCCTTGCAATTGAGAAAAATACTAGGTATAATATAGAATCCACGATAAATATCGCACAGCTCTGAAGAAAACCGAAATTCCATCTGTTCAATCAAGTGATCAAGAAGAGGGATGGTTAGTTTCATGCGGTAGTATTCACGTGCTGTATGTGCAGGATAGTTTTCACGAGTTGTCTGAACATTGCAAAGTCGAGGAATTTTTTCATCAACGTTTACTCTGTTTGCTAAATCCACTGCTTCTTCGTAGTATTGGTCATGAATTGTATATGCCGAGCTGCGTAAAATTTTTAATTGTGACTTCAAAAGATTTATATGTTTAATTGATTCAGCGATATCGATCATCCTTTGCTGCAGTTGGACAGTCAACGACATTGTGTGATGCAGAACATTTGATGTAATCACAAGATTAACAATAAATTCGAAAGATTTTATGGAACGAAGATATCCCTCTGCGTCCCTACTTGAATTATCAAAATCTTTATTCATATTGAGCTTCATGTACTCTAAACTTTGACAAACAGGTTCAAATGCTTCCACAAATCCATCAAGTGTACGTATCCGTTCAACCCAACGCGTTGTGGATGGAGCTCCTAGTTTTTTACGACGTAACCCAGACTTTTCCATATTCTGCCTCAAGCACTGCATTTGTAGGGGGGATGGGCTGAAGAAACTGAAGATCTTTTGAGCATGCCCCAACATGTTTTTGACAGTTTGCTCACCACATGCTTTAGCAACAACAAGGTTCAATCGATGACTAGCGCAATGGATATACAAAGCTTTTGGATTTTTCTTTAAAATACGACCAGCAACTCCCTTTGATTTGCTTGACATTGCACTGGCACCATCATAGCAATGACCACGACAGTTGGAAAGTAGTAGCCCAACTTCGTTTAAAGTATCTTCGATATTCTTCGCTAGCGCTTCGCCAGTCATTCCTTCACACTCAACAAATTTAATAAATCGTTCATTAATTTCTTGCTTTGAGTCAACATACCTTACAACAATTGGCATCTGCTCGATACTGCTGCAGTCTGTTGCCTCATCACCAAGGACTGAGTAAATTGGGCATTCATTAGAATTGATGTCAGAAACAATCTTTTCTTTGATTTGTTCCCCGCAGATCTTTATCAGCTTGTTTTGAATTGTCTTCGAACGATAAGTTGCATTCTTACTTGCATTTTCAAAATGTTTCTCTAGTTTCGCGTCACCCGCGTCTACTCTAAAATTCAAAAGGGCCTGAAAGTTCCCAGGATTAGAAGATAGAAATTACTTTGAGTCGTCACGATGGCCTCGTAAGGGAAGATTCTGTCTGCCTGCCAGTATAATAGTTTTAATAATAGAGCCTAAAACGTCACGATTGTATTGAATGCGGGCACTTCTAAGATGATCGGCTTGTTCGTCGATGCCAATAGTTTTACCTTTCATCACACGTTGGAACTGCGACAAACGTAACTTGGAGTCACGGTGAATTAGGGAATATTTGTCATGCTGGAAAAATTTTGTTGCCGCACTTTGCCAGTTTCTTAAGGGTTCCTTCAATAATTTACTAAGCTTTGAACCATTATGTCCTGTTTGATGACCGAACAAAACGCAATAATAACAAAAGGCTCCATCAAATAATTTAGAGTAGCACAACCAGGATCAACGATCTAGCCAGCCAGCACAAAATTTTCTTGAAGATTTACCATTCTCAGAAAAAGGAAAATTGAAAGAAGGGGGAGGCTTCCAGTGATTTGTTATAAGTCTTAGCTTTGTGTCGTCATCTAGGGCCGCCACAGATACAAAATGTCCAATATCCAAGGGATCAACATCTGTCATATCAGTTTTTACAGATTTTGACAAGGGACAAGAAGCATTTGATACTTTTCCATCTTCAAAGTCGAATGAAAGAGGTCCTAAATAAAACATTACTAAGATGTAGGTATACGACTACATTCAAAATAATAAAGCCTGAATGCGTTAACATGCAAGGTCATATATCATAGGTCATTGTTTTTGGTGCATTTGAGTGAAAGCTTGTTGCCAATTTGACGATCTCATGTTTAGAAGGAAGGATTTATTCTCATGTACAAAAAATATCCTCCATCCCACAACGAATACTTTATATTGCATGGTATGCTTTACTTATGTTCTTAGAAAAGCATGCTTACCTATAATTAAAATATATTTGCACATGAACAATCACTAATTTAACCCACGTTTTAAGGAGGTCTTCAAGCAATCATAGCTGCTGCCATCTAAGTCTTCCCTTGGTGAGGATTTTGCAGGTGCTACCAAAGTTGTGTCTATTTGTTGCTCAAGTCCACTTTTATTTTTCTGTAAGACATCAACTTTAAAGTGGTCAGTAATTTTTTTTTTATTATTAACTCTTGAGTTATTATTTTGATTAAATTCAATTAGTGGTACAAAATGATTGGGTTGAAATTCTATATCTAATTCTGGAAGAGAATAAGCACCAGTAGTTGTCCACATTAAAATTAACTTAGCAGGCTGAACAAGTTGACTTGAAATATGTTGGTGTGCTTGCCGTGGAAGAATTTTACCATTTAGAAATTGTGAATATTTGGTCTCCTGGTCCAACTTTTCGGGATAAACTGAAATTATAGTCATTCCAGTGACAGACGACAAACCAAATATACACATAAGTGAAGAATAAGTACCATTGCATGCATTATTTAGAGCTTCCTCTTTAACTACTATTACCTTTGTGCTTGGATTTTTCCTATCATAGCCATTGCCTAAAGCCACATCTGATACTGATGCAGAAAAAAGCAGTATTTTCTGACTTAAAAAAAATGCAACTTATCTTTTAAGTAAGGGTGGTTAGCATAATACTCCTGGTGATTGAATAGCTCAATGCTTGTCAAGTCTCTCAGCAAATGACATAGGTCTTCCTTGCCACAAAGTAATTTTGAGCAGGCTCTGTACAGACAATTACCATCACCTCTAGTTCTAAATATAGCAGAGTTAAGAAAATTCTCATTGTGTGGCTAAAAATTAGAAATCAGAAGAATTCAAAACTTAAATGTCTGACAGGGTTATTTGGAAAAGAAAATGTTAGCTTCTACTGAAGTCATAAGTATATTGGAAGAAGGAATACAGTCATTACATTTTTAATGTAATCCATACAGTACATAAACTAAAATGCAACTAAAATCGCACCTACCCTGCATATTACAGTTTGTATTATATATTACATATGAATACAAGTATAAGTGCTGCATAAGTAATATGACATCGTGTATATTTTATGATGATTGTTCGTCGTTATCTACACGACTACACTCTGAGTCTGAAATGAGTACACTATTTACATTTAAAACATGCAAGCATAAAGGTAAATTTACTTACTTTAAAGCTCTTAGTTCTCCACTTTGCCAATGAACTGTCAAGTGCTTAGGTATTAACATTTCACTTGACATATCTCTCCCATTTTTACCCTTTGAAAAGGGATTCCAAGGAGAGGATTTTGAAATAAAAGTAGCAGCTCTCGTTTCATAGGTTCGACGCACTCCATTAATATCAAATGACTTCTCTTCTCGAAGCAGAGTACACAGATCGTGTTTGATATTCTCGACAGCCATGACTTCGATCGATGATTGCGAGTTATATCAAGTGATCAAATAACAATGCATTCAACTTTGAAGTTCAAAGTTGAATGCATCGGTGCCATGTGCCCACAATCACAAAATTATGGAAAATGCATCGCTCAGCGGCAAAATCTACCGTGACGTGAGGCCCTAAAACAATGGTTTTGCTGATGTCACAGTAGATTTCACGCGGAAAAGGACTCGGGACCGATGCATCGCAAATCTACTGTGACGTAGCGATGCCTCTTCCATCTACCGTGACGTGCTGGCAGAATACTATTAAATTACTTACTAATTATGTATTCACGACAAAATTTCGCTAAATTTTATCGACTTTTCTTTCGCTATTTGTGTCATGGAATACGACAAAATTATCGGAGAACACAAATGTTATTTCTAGAACAAATTTTAGCTTAAAACTGCTAAATCTATAAGTTAACTAAACAATATATCACTGTCAAATGTGCGTTTTAAATAATTCGAAAATATTATTTGCTATTTATATCATTAAAATGCAAACTCGCAGATTTTAATATCTAAATATTTTGACCGATGCATTCGCATCGGTTGCATCGGTCTAGATCCGCCCCTGGTCACACACGTTTTCAGCATGTTTTATTGTTGAACTTTTAAAAAGAATTTGCGTTTGGAATATTAAATACTTACGAAATTTCTAATCGTCGCACGAATACTATAAAATATAGTGTTGATTGAAATCAGGAGGGAAGAAAACGTTTCCTAAGCATGAGCCTGTGCAACTCCGCTGACATTTTCGTCCAAAATTTGCCATATATGGTATAGTGGCATCCATGTTTTTGACAACATGTTGCGCTAAATAAAATATAATAATTTGGATGAGATTGTACGTCCAGGTAATTAGTATACATGTCATTGTTTGAGACTGGTAGATTTTTTACATGTGTCGAGTTTTAAATTTGTCAAATTTTTTACATGTGGCGCATTTTAAATTTGCCTTTGATGAAGATGTGTTTGAGTTTGGTTTTGATTTGCTGCGACAGTTAACATCTGCTACCCATTCATAACTACCATACAGATGTTACATCCATCCCATCAAAGAGAACGTTATCCTAAATGTATTACTAAATTATCGCCTATAACATCCCAGATATGCTTCAACAATCTGCAAAGCAGCGGAGAAAAACGAAACATTAAATACATTGTTTCTGTTCATTATTGATTCGGGTACTCAACACTGTCGAAAAAAATAGCACTTTGATGGAAATTGTTGTATAAGAGAATCGATACCTGCGTATTGGGTTTCAAACTGCGCTGCTCGATATTTGTTCAGAAAAACTTGAGAAACGTAGAATGTTCCTTAATCTCAGGGTTTGGCCTCCATGCACGAAAAACCATGCAACCTCTAATGCCACTGCACTCGAGATAATCATGTTACATACATTTACCAACGATTTGGTGTTGAACATGGACAATCGATACAGACAATAAATGAGAAGGAAGTTAAGCTTGTTAAGCTCATTAACTGTATCCGAAACAATGTACATCTTTTGAAAAATTTAAAACATTACTTTGTATTATGACAAATAAAAAAATATTTTTCTACGTGATGTGTTTCTATATCAATAGTCAGCACTACAGTTTTAAATTGCTGCACTGTACCAGCGTAATGTATGTAAAATATCTCTAGCATTGCATATATTGGCATAATGATATCGTGCATGCATTTTTTATGAAAAAGATTAGAAAAATCGTTCACAATACACTTGCACATCAGAAATTTCTAAAATACATATAGGAAGAATAACTTTCACCGAAATGGCCTGTTTTAGTAAAAATGAAAATGTATACTTCATTGGAATAGATGATTTTACAAAACAATATAACTTCCATGCAAAAAAAAATTCTATCATAAATATAATTTTTTAAATAGAAATCGAGCATAAAAAGTTGAGCTGACTGTTGTACTCTAGTTTTGAGTCTCGTAAATGTCCCAAATCACCATTGCTATTTCATTTTCACGTGTATATTAGAGAAAATTCCAACACGTTTCTTTCCTTCTACGTAAAATTTCATTTAAAGGTGCAATAAATATATGCAAACACGATTGTAATTTAGCAATTTCTGTTTTCTATTGGCATTCACAAAGTGCCTATGAAACGAAATTTTTACAAGTTAAATTATGTTTGCATTGAGCAGGACTTTTTGATTAAAAGCGTACTATCTAAAAGAATTTATGCACGTCTTTTTTAAATCTCTAACTTGTGACGTCACATTGCATAATGAGTTGTCACAATGTTTTAAACTCTGTTGAGTTTCCTGACAACTTTATGTTGATACTAGTAGTGAGCATTTTACACGATCAAAACGTCATACTGAAGGTCGCTCTGCTAAGTTGAAATGAAATATCACCAAACATACCTAATATTTCTTGTTCATTATGCAATCTGTGACGTCACAAGTTAGATAAATCGGACAAACAAAAACCTTAATACATCGAGGGTGAAAACTGATATGCATTAACTGGTACAGAAAGACCATTGTCATTTTGCAATATCTGCTCAATAAAAGTAAAACTCATATAGCAAAATTTCGAGTCAAGCACTTTAAACATGCTTCGTGAGCATTGCAAATACTGCAACGATTTTTACAAAATTGCCATCTTACGTTGATTAAACAAAGTAACTAAAGTCTGTATTACATCAGATTGGGATTCAACGTTCAATTCAACTTTATATTTTATTTACAGTTAATTACATTAAGTATAATGAACATGTTATGCAAAAGAAGAGCGAGCTTAAAGAATAATTGGTTTTCAAAAATGTGTCATGAATTTTCTTTAAAAGCGAAGGGAAATTATGAAGAACATCACCGGATTGAATGAAATATCGTGAACAGGTAATCAATTTCATTTTTTTCCCAGTACACATTTACGCATTCTTTTCTTCTTTCCTTTTCTTCATTTCTTATTTCTCACCCTTAAAGTGTACAACATTTAAAATTGTAAGAAATAATTTTCTTTGCAGCCTTGCATAGTGCGTATTTTGTTTTGTTCAGCCGTTTTCAGCTTACCTGTAATACTTTCCATCAATTGAGTATGACAACCCAAGTTTGCCAACTTCATCACGTAGAGCTTGATGTTCCAAATCAGGATTGCCGTAAGTTTCAAGTGAGCGGAGACTTTTTATTTTGCTTAATGAGCCAGGATCAATTTTCTTAAGTTTGTTTTCTTTAAAAGATAAGATGCATAGATTTTCCAAATCTGCAATGTCAGCAGTAATCTTCTTTATGCAGTTTCAATCAAGACGAAGTTCTTCAAGCTTTTTCAAAGCAAGCACTCCTCTCGGAATACATTCCAGACCACACGTTACAATGGATAAAGACGTAAGTTTGGTAAGCTTGTTAAAGTCCTTAAAATCATCGTGTTCAAGATGACACTCAGTAAATTTGAGTTTCAAAATTTTATCGCAAATACTCTGATAGAAAATCGTTGGAGGAATTCCTCCAAGTTTAGTAAAAGATAATTGTTTTTCTTCTTCTAATCTGGTTTTTAAATCTGCAACAGGAAATTTCATTTTCAATGCATGTGGCACAAATTTCTTCTTGTATTTTTTGGAAAGCAAATGTGCGAACATTATGACGAACATTTTGTTGTACGAATGCAAATAATGTAGGAGAAAACCTAGATCTCCCTTTACTGAATCTATATCAGATAACTTCTCAGCAACTTGCTCCTGTATTTTTTTCTTAAAATCATATTCATATGTTTTATTACGCAAACGGAAATTCCAAACAGCTGTTGAAAAAAATATTACTAAATTCAGTAATAAATCAAAGTTATAAATGCAAACAATACAAAACAGAGCTGGAGCTAAACCATGTGAGCATAAGAAATAATCGTGTTGGATGGGAATATGTTGGGTAAGTGTACACATCATTGTGTCCGCTTTTAAATCTTTCAAGAAACAAAAATTAATAATGAGAAATATTATTGCTGAAATAGGTTGTAACAAACTTTTGATAGTGTAGATATTTGAAATATTTATATTGGGATGAGATGTTGAGATGTTTACTTTTAATTTTTCCACTTTTTCATACAAACACATCATTGCACTTGTGGAGGTAGTGTCTGGAAGGAAATCAAAATTGTAAGTTTGATCGGTCAAGTCGGAATTATCTTCCATGGCGAGGCAGACGTAGCTTTGGTTTTCATTGGAATTTTGCTGGAACAGTGCACGTGTAACGGCAAAATTTGAACATGGCGAATCGTAACACGCCATCACGAGATCAACAAATGTTTTAATTACCAATGAAGTTAAAGGAAGCTTCAACCAGAAATCGTTAAGAACCAATAGCCACAATGCTTCGACGAACAATATGAACCACAAATATGACAAAAAGTTTGGAATTGCGCTTTTACTGCATTCTGAATTGACAAAACTTTTGTATATATTGTTGACTTTATGATCTGTAACGACTTCCGTTCTTGCCACAAAGTTTAAATCTTGAGAACGGTAGAAGTTTGCGCATATATCAGGAAATTTTAGGTGTGCTTGAGGCCAAGTTACATTCAAATTTGACTTTGTTACACGAGGACAGTCAACAACCGCTACACATTCAAAACTTCCAGATGTTATCTCCATACCAGCAACAGCAACAGATAACATTGCCAAAAGTAGCACTAAATAATCTGTTATAATATCCCAGAAAGGCTTTAGAATCTTATATTTTTCCTTTTGACCTTTCCAGAAATACTCCATGGACATCATTTTGATAAAACTGATTAGCCTTAATGTCAAATTTTTAGATAGTTGTGAATGTTTGACGTGTCACTTTACGCTACGCTAAATACGCATTTAATTGTCTTTGTTAACGTCGCTATTTTTCCTGCCTAGCAAGATTAATATTTTTTAAATTGCAAAATTTCCATGCGTTATTTAGTAACTATTTTCTCTTTAGACACGAGTAACCACAATGCCCAATTTATTCACACCTGACATTTAAATTAGCAAGACTTGTTTTGTCGGAGTGATAATTACAGACGTGTCAGTAAAGTATATGAATCTAATTGCTTATGTTTTCAATAACTAGTGAGTATTTTTGTTGAAAAAGAAACCTACAACAGTAACTCCAAACAATTTTAGAATTTTGATTGAACGTTTTGACTCTATTTAGCCATCATCGGGAATGATTATGTTATATGTGTAGGCATTATATATGTTTGTACTTTAGGCTCAAATACAGCTTCTGATATTTAACGGTGCAGCTTGCACTGAAAGATGATTTACATTCTTCAGTATGGCTAAATGATGTAAATCACATGACAATTTCTAATCATTCATTCTTCTCAGATGGCAAAGTTGTCAGATTCCATATTGATATATTTGTAATCACGCCATTTACAATCATTTCATACTTGAACGACATACTTTTCTTTGTAGTCAATTTTGCAGAACTCGTGTGAATAACAAGTAAAAGAACCAAATCAAATT